GGTTGTGCCCAAAGTGGGGGAAGGCCGGAAACCCCGGGAAGGACAGGCCGGTTACGTCGAACTCGGGGCAGGAGACGCGGTTCTGGTAGTAGGCGTTGGGGGTGTCGAGGGCGCGGTGAGAATCGCCAGCGACCAGGGGCTTTCCGGTAGCGGTGGAGTCGCCCCCCAGGGCCCAGCTGTTGCTGCCGCTGTCCATCTCGGCGAGGTAGTTCAGGGCCGCGGCGCCTTCTGCAAGTTCCTTGAGGCCCTGGTCCAGGATTCCGCCGGCGGTTGCGCCGGGAGGCAGGATCAGCAGGTGCCCGGGCTCGTAGCCGGGGAAGAGCTTGCCGGCCTTTTCGGGTCCCATGGCGCGGACCATCCGGGCTCGCCACACCTTGGACTCGAAGACGCCCATCAGGATGTGACGGACCTTGTACACGACGAGGCTCTGCCACGGCTGCCACGGTTCGGGAAGGATGCCGGCGATGGCGTACTCGGCCGGCAGCGGGTCGGGGCCGTCGATGAACGCATTGACGCCTTCGGAGTAGGCGTCAAATACCATACGGGTGTGCTCGTCCATGGCCGCATAGTCGGCCTTGGCACTGGCCACGAGGCGGAAGCGGCGCATCAGCTTGTCCTGCTCGAGCGCGCCATCACCGACGGCCTCGGCCCAGCGGCCACTGCCCCGGAGGCGGTCGTACCCCATGTGCCACAGGCGGTCCTGGGCGGTGACGAAGCCCTGGGCGTAGAAGGCGTCGTGTTCGTTACCGGCGCGGACGTGAGGGATGCCAACGCATCGCGGTAGACTTCCACGCTGCCCTTTAGCCCATTCAGGCGCAGGGTACCGGAGAGGCCAGGAATCGCTTGAGTAAGTTCCGCCGTGCCAATGGTGCTGGTGCCGACCATTCCGTTCACCTCAGCCGCAGTTTTCGGCGATGATAACACGGGCGCTTCGGTGGCACGCGAGGGGCCGACGTGGTCGACAGGGCAATCGCGTCTTATTTGTCAGCACACTAAATTGGACTGAACGGCGGTGGAGATGGGAGTGGCAGTGCCTCCCTCGGTTCCGGGTGCGAGGGTAGACGGGGGTTTGGATTCCCGCCTGCGCGGGAATGACGACTTATAGGGCCTCCGGCGTTTAAGGCGCGATTGCCCGGTAGTTTCCGGTACTTTGCGGCCCTGGATCAGACGCGGGGTGCGAGGGTAGACGGGGGTTTGGATTCCCCCTGCGCGGGAATGACGACTTATAGGACCTGTGCCGACAAAAACCCGGATTTTCCACTCATTTCCGATCATTTCCGACGATTGCGGGGAGAGACGGGATCAGGCGGTGCCGGGGATATTGCGTTCCAGGTTGTTGAGCCAAGGACCATTGGCGGACCAAGGGAGTAGGGTGGTGATGATTCCCCTTATTACAGGACGCCTATCGTCGTCGATGCACCGCTGGAGGTATTTTTCGAAGGCCATATAGGTATGAAGTCGGAATCCGGCGTCGGCCACCTTACGGACGCAGGCGTAGGGGTCGGGTTTGGTCTGCTTGTTGGCAATGGCCAGGTGCCAGAGTTCGGTGATCTCATTTGCGACGCGGCTGAGCCGGATGATCGCGAGCTCGGGGGCGAATTTGCGCTTGAGGGCCTCGACGCCGTTCCTGATCTGGCGCAAGGACATATGCGCGACGACATGGTTCAGTCTCCTGATAGTTTCCGAAAATTTGGGAAATCCGCTTATTTCCGATCAAAACCGATCATTTCCGATCATTTTTGCCTTTTGCCCTTGGGAGTTGCGCGCGACTCCGTGCTGGGATCCGGCCTGCGGCAGCGGGTTGTATTTCCATATATTCAGGCTAGAGATTTGTCATGAGGCTTGTAAAGGGGCCAACTGTCAGCAAATTTGGGGGACGGCTCAACCGGCGCCTGGGGACGCGGGTTCCTGCCCTGCCCTGGATTGGCGGGCGTGACGGGGGTTTGGATTCCCGCTTTCGCGGGAATGACGATTGGGGGGCGGAGTGTGACGATTGGGGGTGCGGGAATGAGGATTGGGGAATGGGGTCTGCGACGGAGGGACGGACGGAGTAGATTTCGTCCCTGCGCCTGATCTTGCGGGGGTGACGGGGGTTTGGATTCCCGCTTTCGCGGGAAAGACGATCGGGGGTGCGGGAATTACGATTTGGGATGGCGCATGCGCCGGAGGGACGGTTGGGCATTGGTGGTGGGGCGGGTTTGAAACCCGCCCCTACGTTTGCTGGCAGGGCCGGCGATTTTGGGCAATGGATTCTTGCGTATGCGTTCGCGGGGATTTGCGTCTCTCTGGCGGGGATGGAGTCGGGGAGGGCGGCTGTTCGCCACTGTGGTGGTGTCAGGCAGTTGGCGGCAGGGGTGTAGGGGATAGTACGCCAATGATGGCAATGTGTTTACTGATTGCTTTCATCGGAATTCCATGTGACACATCAATCCATTCAGAAATGCTCTGATATGTACAATTTGACCTATCAAATGGGTACGAATATATTGCGATATAACAAAACACCTAAATGAGTTGCCCGCTGCCCGTAGCACCAATTAACTGTCACGAAGAGTGGGAATTTACCGCCGAAGTCGTTGAGGCACGGCGCCGTGGGGGTGAACGGAATGAGCGGTCCATCCGAAGATGGTCGAATGCGCCGAGTATTGACGTCGCTTACGTGGTTGATGGCGGTCCTGATCCTTGCTGCCGGAATAGCTGCCTGCGGAATAGAGGCGCCGACACCCCAAACCAACCAAGTGTCACCTGCCACGGAAGAGGCCGCCACTCCGGATGATACGGAAGCTCCCAAGCCGACGGCGGTGCCCACGAGCACCCAGCCGCCGACGGTCACCCCCGCTCCCACACCTGTGCCAGCGATTACCGCCACTCCCACTCCGGAGCCGACCGCCACGCCGCAGCCAGTACCGGCGACCATGCCGGCGCCGACGCCTGGTTTCGCTCCGGCGCCAACGGCAACTCCCACCCAGGTTCCCGCACTCACGGCCACACCTCCACCACCGTTTGATTCAACTCCCACGCCCTCGGGATTTGGCCCGACTCCCACTGCCGGGCGGGCCGCCACTCCGACACCGCAGTTATACCCGCCGCAAGCCAGCTACACATCGGTTGCGGACTAAGGACAGATAACACTGTGGCCTGCTGGGGGAATATCGGCCGGGGCGTGACCTCCCCGCCTCAGGGGAGACTTGAGTCGATCAGCGGCGGTTCGGAGTTCGTCTGCGGGTTGGCGCCGGATGACTCCGTCGTGTGCTGGGGCAATGACGAATTTGGGCAGGCTACCCCGCCCAGCGGGAGCTTTATCTCAGTCAGTGCCGGAGGGGGCCATTCCTGCGGCGTGAGAACCGATAGTACGGCCACCTGCTGGGGCGTTAACAACCAGGGCCAGACCGAGGCTCCACAGGGCAGTTTTGAATCCATTGCGGCCGGAGGGCTTCATACCTGCGCCATGAGGACTGACGGTTCAATAGCCTGCTGGGGTTTCAACAGGGACGGGCAATCCTCGCCGCCAGGCGGCGCCTTCGATTCCATTAGTGCTGGCAATATACACAACTGCGGCATTCGGGGCGACGGATCCGTCGAGTGCTGGGGCGATGGTGGATGGGGGCAGTCGGACGCTCCCGAAGGCTCCTTCACCTCAGTCAGCGCCGGCCACAACCATACCTGCGGAGTGAGGGCAGGCGGCTCCATCGAATGCTGGGGCAACTATACTTTTGACAAGTCCACGCCGCCGCAGGGTTCCTTCTCGGAAGTCAGCGCGGGGCTGGATCACACCTGCGGAGTGAAGAGCGACCGTTCCATCACATGCTGGGGAGCGGTTGCGCTCAGCAGCGGGACCAGTGGAGCCAGCCGTCCCGCGCCAACCCCAGGACCGACTCGCCCGCCCAGGCCTAGCCTCGGCCCCCAGCTGACGCTTTCGGACTTGGCATGGCTCATGGGCTCTATGACGACCATCGAGGAACAGGCCCTGTCCAGCCTTCTGCAAATCGATGGGTCCAACGACAGAATTTTCAAAGTTATACTGCGGTTCCCGTGGGTCGCCGATGGCATCACCAGTGATGAGCAAACGGCCCTCACTCACCTGGAGGAACTTGCCCGCAAGTTCTCCGGCTCGTCCTCGGGTGAGATGCCTGACGTGCTGGGGAATACGGAGTGGCTAATCGACGGCATTACCGCGAAGGAGACGTCTTTCCTTGAGGAAGTGGTTTCGATCAGGGACGGCAGCTCCATCATCGCTACACTAAAGGCATTTTCGTACGTCTACTCTCTTGATGACTATGTTCCACCGTCGCCCACTCAAGTGCCAACCCCCAGCCCGGCACCGCCATCCAGTGCATCCGATTTCGCCTGGGCCCGGGATGGGCTCACGTCAATCGAACAGGAGGCTCTGGGGTACCTGCAGAGCATTGATAGCAAATTCCCCGACGTCTTCCGTGAGCTGGCGCAGCACCAGTGGCTGGCCGAGGGGATCGATGAAGGCGGCAGAAAATTCCTATGCCACCTATCTGCAATCTTTGAACCTGGAGCCGCTTACGCAGTGGTATTGACAATGGATCCCAGGAACCCTCCTTCCGCAGGCAGCCTTCCCGCATGCCCATCCTAGCGAGGAGGCGCAGGCTCGGCGACCCCGACACCCTCTACTTCTTCTGAGCCGTCGATTCCAATTGCTGCCCGGGCAGCCGGGGAAAACTGGCCATATGCGTAACTGGCCTGCTTTGCGGGCGCGAGCGACACGCACCCCGGATGGCGTTGTCAGGGCTCAGTTTCAGGGGTGGCCCACCTGCGGCAGGTGGGGCGGCGTTTTCAAATTGCGAAATCCGCGCATATAATTGGATGTCAGATTATGGGCGGGAGGATCCCCTAAGGCTGGGACTTTCCCGCAGTTCAGGGGACGCTCGTGGCGATATTGACCATACGGCTGGTGCCCGACCCAATCCTGTTCCGGAAGGCGCGGAAGGTCGCCAAGATCACGGCGCAGCACAGGGAAGCTGGCCAGCGACATGATCGAGACCATGACCGAGCATAACGGCGTGGGTCTGGCGGCGAACCAAGTGGGGGTGCTTGAGCGCATCTGCGTGATCCAGACGCCTGACATGGAAGAGGCGATGGTGCTGGTCAACCCGGAGATCGTGCACAGGGAAGGGGAGCGGGAGGTCGAGGAGGGCTGCCTGAGCGTTCCGGGGTACCGGGGAATGGTCGTGCGCTCCGAGTCGGTAAGGGCGCGGGCGCTGGACCTGAGCTCCAAGATCTTCAAGTTGGAGGCGGATGAGCTACTGGCGCAGGCTCTGGAACACGAGATAGACCACCTGAACGGCATCATGTACCTGGACCACCTTGTGGCCCACACCACGGTGTACAAGATCGTTGAGTCGACCGACGGCAGCGAAGAGGACGCGAAGTACGAGGCTGACGGAGCTGGCGACGATCACGGCCACGACGGGCACGACCATGAAAATGGGCACGAGGAACACGGGCACGAACACACGCACGACCCGGATTTCGAAGCTCTGCACCAGCGGCTTCACGAGATGCGCGGCGACGCCGTCGAGCCGGGCCCAGTGGAATCGACCTCGCAGCAGGAACCTTCCGCCTGATGACCCGGCCGGGGTACGCCGAGACGTGCCGCTGACCCGACAATCTGTTTATCCCCTCCGGACCTTTGGATACCGATGACATCTGTCCTGCACAACCCATCCACCATGATTGACCGACTCATTGCCTTCTTTAACGCCCGGGACGTGGAGACCCACGTCGTGGGCGGGATGGTGCGGGACCGCCTTCTGGGCCGGAACAGCGAAGTGGGGGACATCGACCTGGCCATCAAGGGCGACGCGGTGGCACTGGGCCGGGAACTGGCGGAGGAACTGGGCGGGTCGCTGGCGCCTCTGAGCGTGCCGCGAGGGATGATGCGAGTGGCGTTGCCGCCATCGGGTCAAGGGGATGAAGGCGACGGGAGCAACGGTACGATCATCGACCTTTCCGGGTATTCCGGGGATATCGAAAGCGACCTGGCGCGGCGGGATTTCACCATAAATGCCATGGCCATCCCGTTGCGGGAATGGCAGGGCGATGAATTCAGCGGCGCGGTGCTGGACCCCTTCGGAGGGCGCAGGGACCTGATAATCAAGGCAATCCGAGCGCTGAACCCCGACGTATTTGAGGAGGACCCAGGACGGTTGCTGAGGGCGGTACGGCTGTCGGGGGAGCTGGGGATGCGGATCGAGCCGGACACGGTGCGGCTGCTGATGTCCAATGCCGAGTTGGTGCGCCGGGTGTCTCCCGACCGGGTGCGGGACGAGTTCCTGAAGATCCTGGCTCCACAGGGGGCGCGAGGGCGCATAGAGGCGCTGGACCAACTGGGGATGCTGAAACACATCATTCCGGAGCTGATGGCGGCAAAGGGAGTGGACCAGCCGCGAATGCACTACTGGGACGTCTGGGGGCACACCCTGCACACGGTACAGGCCGCGGAGGGAGTTACCGGCGGGCACCAGAATTCGCCGGTGTATTTCTGCGTGCCCTGGACGCCGGATTCCGAGGCGTATTTCGCCGAGGTAGTGAGCGACGGGCACACGCGGCGCACCATCCTGAAGCTGGCGGCCCTGTTCCACGACATCGCCAAGCCCCAGACCAAGACCCTGGAACCGGATGGGCGCACGCGATTTTTCGGCCACTCGGAGCAGGGCGCCGAGGTCGCGGAGCGCAGGTTGACGGAGTTGCGGCTGAGCAACCGGGGCGTGGATATGGTATCGGGGATGGTATTGCACCACCTGAGACCGACGGGGATGTCGAACGACGGGGAGTGGCCCACGGACCGAGCGATCTACCGGTACTTCCGGGACACGGGCGGCGTGGCTGTAGACACGCTCTTTCTGTGCCTGGCCGATTATCTGGGGGCAAAAGGGCCGGAGTTGTCGCATCCCGAATGGCTGGAACATGCTAAAATGATATCTCACGTGCTTTTTACAGGCACGCGGGAGCCGGTCGCCGCAAACACGGCGCGCCTAGTCAGCGGACACGACCTGATGTCCCGGTTCCAACTCCAGCCCGGATCCCACATTGGCTTTCTTCTGGAAACCATCGAAGAAGCGCGGGCGGCTGGCGAAATCGAGACTCAGGAGCAGGCGCTGGAATTGGCAGCTGCGACAATTGAAAGCCAGGGGTACTCCCGCGATGGTTCGCGGGCCAGTTCCGTTTAACCCATGCGTTCCCGCAGCGTCCGGCTCACTTTAGTTATCCTCGTCATACTGGGACTTGCCCTGTCGGCCCTGGGCTTCCGTTCCATCAACATAGACATTCCGGGCCTGCCCGCGCTGGAGCGCGAGGGCGCCGGTCCTTTCGGCCTCAAGCTGGGCCTCGACCTCAGCGGCGGCGGCCACCTTGTCTACCAAGCCGACACGGGCTCCCGTTTCGAAGTCACCCTGCTTGAACCCGCCGACCTGGAGGACATAGCAGAGGCACTGAACGGCTTCCGGTTCGGAGACGAAGAACTTGCGTTGGAGGACTTCCAGGTATTTCCCCGCGACGTGGATTTCGTCCAGCGGGAGGTCCAGGCGTCGCCAGCTATAGTCGTCGAGGATGAGGCTACTGCCGTTGAGGGCGAAGAGGCGTCCGAGACTGTTTCCGAGGCAGAGGAGACCGCGGGCGAGGGAACCGAGGGCGAGGAAGAGGAGCCGGTGGAGCCGCAGCTGGTGACCGTGGCGGTAGCCAGCATGTTCCAGATCCGAACTCCGCTGCTGGAGCCGGACGACCCGCGACGCACCGGGCTGCGCGACTCGATCGAGGACGCGCTGGGCCAGGTGGACGTGTTCCAAGTGGCCGATATAGGTCATCCCGACGCCAGCCAGATGCAGGGTGTGCTGGATAACATCACCCGACGCGTAAACCGGTTCGGGACTGAAGAGCCGATCATTCAGATCTTCGGCGAAGACCGCATCATCGTGCAGCTACCGGGTGCGAGCGGCTCCACCACTGAGCTGACATTTGACGACCCGGTGGACGACATGGGTCTGGTCAGGACCGCGCTGACCGATGCGGGCTACCGCGACATCAAAATCGAACGAATCGACGACAGCACGTTCCGAGTCCTGTCGGGTACCGTCGGCTCCGAGGTTGAGACGGCGGCCAGACAGGCGTTGACCGATGCCATCGGCGCGCCGGGGCTTACGGTTAACAGCGCGATCGACGAGGCCAAGTCGCTGATCGGCCTGACTGCGCTGCTGGAGTTCAAGGAACGCACCTGCGAAGACATCACCTGCGAGCAGTTCACTGACGCGGACCTTGGCCTGACCGGCGATGACCTGGAACGGGCAGAGGCATCCGCCGATCCGGTGGGGATCGGCTGGGTGATCAACCTGCAGTTCGACGGGCGCGGTTCCGACATTTTCTCGGACCTGACCCGACGCATTGCCGGGGTGGAGACCAAGCGAATCTCGGTGTTCATGGACGACCAGGAGATCATCGCGCCAGTGGCGCGGGCCTGGATTCGCGACGGCAGCACGCAGGTCAGCGGGAACTTCACCCGCGAGGAGGCTCGCACCCTGGCCATCCAGCTTGAGGCGGGTCGCCTGCAGGTACCGCTCAAGCTGATCCAGGAGAGCGATGTGGACGCCCTGCTGGGCTCCGAGTCCCTACGCAACAGCCTGGTAGCGGGACTGGTAGGTCTGGGGCTGGTGCTGCTGTTCATGATCGCCTACTACCGAATGGCCGGCGTGGTGGCAGCCTTCGCGCTGGTGTTCTACGCGGTGATGGTGCTGGCGGTGTTCAAGCTGATTCCGATCACGTTGGAGCTGGCACACATCGGCGGCTTCATCCTGTCCGTCGGTATGGCGGTAGATGCCAACATCCTGATATTCGAACGAATGAAAGAAGAGGTCCGGATTGGACGGACGCTGGCCTCATCAATGGAGGTCGGGTTCAGCCGTGCGTGGCCAGCCATTCGAGACTCGAACATCTCCACGATGATCACGTGCCTGGTACTGTTGTGGTTTGGCGACCGCCTGGGCGGCGGCCTGGTGACAGGCGTGGCGATCAGCCTGTTCATCGGCGTGGCGGCCAGCATGTTCACGGCGGTGGTGGTGAGCCGGAACCTGTTGCAGCTCATGGCTTTCGCCGGGCTGGGAGGTCGAATCAGCCTGTTCACGCCTGAGAAGGTGGGTAGGGAGACGACGCAGGCCAGTTCGGGACCTGCCAGCGGAGGAGCCGGTAGTGCTGGACGTAGTCGGCAAGAGGGGCTGGTACTTCCTGTTCTCCGCCCTGATCATCATTCCGGGAATTCTGTCCATGCTGATGCCGCCGGGCTGGGTCGCGCTGGGTTCCGGGCTGAAGCCGGGCATCGATTTCACCAGCGGCGCCGTGTTCAACGTCACGTTCAGCGACGACGTGGACCAGCAGGAAATTCACACGCGAATGGCGGTGCTGGGCCATCCCGAGGCGCTGGTGCAACAAGTAGGCGGCAACAACTTCTTCATCCGCACTGAAGTGCTGGAGGAGCCGACGGGTGGCGAGCTTTCCGAACGGGAGATCATCGAGCGCGACCTCGAAGAGACGCTGGGCCTGGAGCGCGACCGGGTCGAGTTCGAGAGCGTCTCGCCGATCGTGGCCTCGGAGACCGTGAACATCGCGTTCTACGCTCTGGCCGCGGCGTCGGTGTTCATCCTGTTCTACGTGTGGTACGCCTTCAGGCGGGTGCCCAAGGCATACCGCTATGGCGTCAGCGCGGTTCTGGCACTGGCCCATGACATCCTGATCATTCTGGGCGTGTTCTCCATCCTTGGCCGAGTCATCGGGTTCGAAGTGAACTCGATGTTCATAGTCGGGCTGCTGATCGTCGCCGGTTACAGCGTCAACGACACGATCGTGGTGTTCGACCGGATCCGGGAGAACGTGTCACGCCACCCCGACCGGGACCTGGGCGGACTGGTCAACGTGAGCATCATGGAGACCATAGGCCGATCCCTGAACACCAGCCTGACCACCCTGTTCGTGCTCATCGCAATGCTGCTCATTGGAGGCCCCAGCATCCGCGAATTGCTGCTGGTGCTGGCTATCGGAGCAGTCGTCGGGACTTACAGCAGCATCTTCATAGCGAGCCAGTTCCTGGTGATGTGGGACCGGGGCGAGATCAGCCGCCTGGGACGGGCGCGACAAACGGTCGCAACCGCCGGTTCCGCGCTACTGAGCCTGATCGGCAAATAACGCCCTCGAAAACCGTAACGGCGAGCCTCTTTTGTTGATCGCGGCTGGTCGAGGATGTCTGGCGGCGTTCGACTCGGGGGTCTGTTCGCAGCCAGCCCTCTGGGGCACCTACCCTGCTTGGGGCACCAGGGCCACGCGGCCCAGGATGGTGCGTTCCGAGAGCAATTCCGCCGCGTGAGCCGCCTCCTCCAGAACCATGAGGCGTTGCAGTACCGGCGTCAGGCTGCCGTCCGCAGCCAGTGCGATTACCTGCTCAAGGGTCTGGCGGGAGACGCCGGAAACACCGGTGATGCGGGCATCCCTGAATATGATTTCGGGGATGATACCGCGTAGGCTACCCTCACCTCCAACCTCGCCCAGCACGGCCAACCTCCCGTACTGTCCAAGGCAGCGTACCGACGAGCGGAGCGTCGGGGTGCCCACAGTGTCGATGACCACGTCCGCTCCGAGGTCGCCAGTGACCGCCATGACAACTCCAGAAAACTCCAGCCCCGAGTCCGGCGCATTCATCTCGATGACATCGTCGGCACCGTAACGGTAGAGTACCGTGGCCTTTCCGGAAGTGGAGGTTACGGCCAGGGTACGCGCGCCCAAGGCTGCCGCGAGCTGCACGGCGTGAACGCCGAGGCCGCCGCCAGCGCCGGTTACCACGACAGTCTCGCCGGCAGAAACGTTGACAGCATTGAGGGCCTGCAATGCGACTCCGGCCGGGCAGGCGAGCAGTGATGCCGTCGGCAAATCCACTGCAACGGGCAGCGGCACGAGGCTGTGCTGGGAAAGAGCAACGTACTCGGCGAAACCGCCATTGCGCCAATGGCCGATGCCCTCACCGTCCCGGCAGCGGTGCTCACGCCCCGACCGACAGCGGTCGCACTGCCCGCAGGCGTTGGTCAGCAGCGATACAACGCGGTCGCCGGGGCTGACAAGGTCCACGCCCTCGCCGACCTCCTCGACGACGCCAGAGATCTCGTGGCCGAGAACCACACCGGGGGCGACGCCGCGGCGGAGAGTGCCGTTCATGACCTGCAGGTCATGATGGCAAAATCCGCAGGCGGCCACCCGCACGAGGGCCTCCCCGGGTCCGGGTTGGGGCACGGGCAGGTCCACCACCATCAGTTGAGGGGGAGTTCCGGGATCTTCCAGCATCAAGGCTCGCATGGCGTGCCATTGTATGCGCTTTGCGATGCGCCGCCAACGGCTGTCCCGTATAATCAGCCGAACGAAGGTCATGTAGTCGCTTTAACAGAGGGCAGACCGTGAAAATCGGAGCACACGTTTCGACATCGGGCGGTATCAGCAAGGCAGTGGGGCGCGGACAGGAGATAGGGTGCGAGGCACTGCAGATATTTGGCTCGTCGCCACAGTCCTGGGCGTTCCGAGAGATTCCTGACGCAGAGATCGAGGCGTTCCGACAGAACATGGCAGATGCGGGGATAGGGCCGGTGTTCCTGCATGCCATCTACCTAGTAAACCTCGGAACGGAAAGGCCGGATGTGTTGCAAAAGGGGATAGATTCCCTGGCCGCTCACCTGAACCTGGCCGGAAGGCTGGGAGCGGAGGGACTGATCTTCCATCCTGGCAGCCACGGAGGTGCGGGGTTCGATGCAGTGCTGCCGCAGGTGGCGGACGGGATACGACAGGCCCTTGACAAGACATCCGACGGCCCCTGCCTCGCGGTGGAGAACATGGCCGGGATGGGCAAGCACATCGGCGCCCGCTTCGAGGAACTAGGAGCGATCCTGGACGCGGTGGACGACGAGCGGCTCAAGGTCTGCCTGGACACGCAGCACAGCTTCGCCGCAGGGTATGACCTGACGACGGGCGAGGGCATCGAGGATATGCTGGCGCAGTTAGACGCTGGCCCCGGCTCGACCAACGTGGTGGCGATTCACGCCAACGACTCCAAGCGAGTCTGCGGGTCCGGGGTGGACCGCCACGACAACATCGGCGAGGGATTCATCGGCGAGAGTGGATTCGCGGTGTTCATGGGGCACCCGGCGTTCGCGCACGTTCCCTTCCTGCTGGAGGTGCCGGGATTCGAGGGCAAGGGTCCGGACCAACGCAACGTGGACATCCTGAAGGAGATCCGGCAGCGGGTGGGCGCGACCCAGTGATCAGGATGACCTACCGGGAGTTCGTGCGACTGGTGCGCCGGGCGTACGGCGAACTGCCGGACAGTCTGCTCCGCCACCTCAGGAACGTTGACATCGTCGTGGAAGACTGGCCGGGCCCCGATGAGGCAGACCTGGTGGGAGAGCACAACTCGCTCTTCGGGCTGTACCACGGCTGGCCACTCACGGAGAGGGACAGCATCGGGCCGGCGCTGCCCGACCGCATATTAATTTACCGAGGGCCCATCCTGCAGGCCTGCGAAAGCCGGGACGAGGCCGTTCGGGAAATACGGATCACGCTCTGGCATGAGATCGGCCACTACCTGGGCATGACCGAGGAAGACCTGCACCGGCTGGGATACGGATGAGACGCTCCGTCATTCCCGTCGACGCCGGCGACGTTCTCCACAGGCAACACGGTTATTCCCATCAATATTCTTCCAGCAATTGCCTTCCTTGGAAAAACTGAACGCCAGATTGGGATGGTTGTTCGGGACCGCGCTGGGAGTGGGGCTGTTTCCGGTGGCGCCGGCGACGCTGGTGAGCCTGATGGCGGTGGCGGGTACTGGGCCATGCCGATCGGCGAGGACTCGCCGGCCTTCTTCGTCCTGATAGCGGGGGCGATTCTCATCGGGCCGTGGGCCTGTGGCAGCCTCACCAGCAACGTCGATCCGGACCCCAAGCGAGCGGTGTGGGACGAGGTAGCAGGCATGTGGCTGACCTGCCTGTTCCTGCCGAAGACGCTACCGTGGCTTGCCGCCGCGTTTCTGCTGTTCCGGGTGCTGGACGTTCTGAAACCGTGGCCCATCCGCCAGTATGAGCGGCTGCCGGGCGGCTACGGGATCATGGCCGACGACTTGGCGGCGGGAGTCATCGGCGCGGCGGTGCTGAACCTAGTTTACCGGCTGGCGTGGTAGGGGGAGAGCGCCCTCCCTTGGCCTGCAACGGCTGAATTCTGATTGCCCAGCTACAGCCGCTATGCTATATTTGCAGCATATCGGATTGTGTCATTCGGCAAGGCTTGTCGCGGTCGGCATGCCTATCTCTGGCTTAGCCAGTAAGGATGAATAGAGGTAACGGATGGTTGAACCCCAACAGCAGCCCATTGAGGAACCGGCGCAGATTGCACCGTCAGCCGAGCCGGTCGCTCCCGAGCCCGCTGCGCCTGTGGCAGTAGCGGAAGCGGCGGTGGCAGTGGCGGAAGCCCCCGAGGCGGCTCCAGCGCAGGCGGCTCCTGCCCCGAGCGCAGAGCCCTCGGAGCGCCCGCCGAGGCCCGCACCGGAGCGCCCTCCTCAGCCGACGGGTCGTGAGCCCATCAACATGAAGGCGCTTCTCGAGGCCGGTGTGCACTTCGGACACCAGACCCGCCGGTGGAACCCCACCATGAAGCGCTACATCTTCACGCAGCGCAACGGGATCCACATCATCGACCTGCAACAGACGCTGGGCATGATCAATGATGCCTACAAGGACATGACCAATTTGGTCGCCAATGGCGGGAAGGTCCTTTTCGTGGGCACCAAGCGGCAGGCGCAGGAAGTGATCCAGTCCGAGGCTGACCGCTGCGGGATGTGGTACGTAAACCAGCGGTGGCTGGGCGGGACCCTGACAAACTTCCAGACCATCCGTACACGCATCCATTACATGCTGGAGCTGCAGCAGAAGCGTGACCAAGGATATTTCCGCCTGCTCCCCAAGAAAGAGGGGGTCAAGATGCGGGATACCCTGAACCGGCTGGAGAAATACTTCACCGGAATGCGGGATATGACCACGGTTCCCCAAGCCATTTTCGTCATAGACATTGGCCGGGAGAATATCTGCGTGGCGGAGGCCCGTCGCTTGGGTGTCGAAGTCTTCGCAATAGTCGACTCGGACTGCAACCCGGACCTGGTGGACCACATCATCCCAGGCAACGACGATGCCGTACGCTCCATCGCTTGGTCACCAACCGGATGGCCTCCGCAGTGCTGGAAGGGCTGGCGCAGCGGGAAGCCACTCTGCAAGCCGAGATGGATGAAATGCAGGCGCTGGCCGCCGAGGCTGCGGGGCTTTCCGGACCGGAGGATCTGTCGGAACAGGAAGGCCTGTCGGAACGGGAGGACGCGGCGCTAACCGACGCGGTTACGTTGGACCAGGGAACCCTGGCGGAGCTGGCGGCCGCAATGGGAGGGCGAGTGGCCGGCGGCAGGGAAGACTCTGAAGCCCAGGAATAGCAGACCCGCACCAAGCACGAAATGACCGACTCGTTTCCAGAACCCGGCGAGCTGAGCGTTAACGACCACGCGCAAATCAGCCGCCGGTTTCTTGAGAACGCCGGAGCACGGCCGGTCAAGGGATTCCACTTGCAGGCCTCTGCATTGGTTTTCGAAGCTGTGGCTCGCGTCCTGAGCCATAGGTAGAGATCTGGGGTGGATCCACGGCAGGCACCCCGACATATTCGACACAGGAGAATATTTGGGCAGGGTGTTCGGAAGGGAGGATGAGTTCCACCTATTCCTGGCTCAAGCCGAATATATGCATCGCAATTTCTATATGACTGGCTGGAGCGAGGGAGCGGTTCGCGCCGCTCAATTTGGTGTTACGCGTCTCGAAAGCGAATTGGAGACAATCCGTACCGCCCAGCCTCGTGCATTTGCCTCCAGGGAAAACGACGACCGAGTTAAGCTGGGCCCACTGCTGAGACTGTAGCGGGCGGACCGTTCTGCGATCTGGGGCTCATCTCCGGTTGGGTATAGTAAAACTTACACAGTTGATTCTCACAATTAGAAAGGAGTTAACCGTTGGCTGTCAGCACGGAACTGATCCGTACCCTGCGCGACCAGACAGGCGCTGGGATTATGGACTGCAAGCTGGCCCTTGAGGGCACCGATGGCAACCTGGATAAGGCGGCGGAGGCGCTGCGGGCCAAGGGCCTGGCAGACACCGCCAAACGCGTTGGCCGCGCCACCAACGAGGGAGTGATCGAGTCGTACATCCACACCGGCGGACGCGTGGGGGCCATCGTCGAACTGGGCTGCGAGAGCGACTTCGTAGCGCGAATGGACGAGTTCAGAGCACTGGCCCACGATATCGCCATGCAGGTGGCAGCGATGGCGCCTGTCTACCTGGACAAAGAGGATATCGAGGAGGGCGACGAAAGGCCTGCCGCGCAGGTCACCCTGCTGGCGCAGCCGTTCATCAAGAACAGTTCATCCTCCGTGGGGGAGCTGGTGAGGGAACTGGCTGCCAAGACCGGCGAGAACGTCAAGGTAATCCGGTTCCAGCGCCTCGCCGTAGGTGAGTAGCGGAACCGGCGATATGGCTGATTCTCCGTCGACGTCCAAGGGCCACCCGGCTTTCCGTCGCGCTTTGCTTAAGATCAGCGGCGAGTCTCTCAGGGGCTCGACGAAAAGCGGTATTGACCAAGACACGGTCAGGTACATTGCGGGACAGATCGGGGACGCCCACAAACTGGGAGTTGAAATGGCTGTCGTCATCGGCGGCGGCAACATCTGGCGTGGGGAAGAGGCAGAACAGTGGGGCATGGAGCGGGCAACGGCGGACTATGCCGGGATGCTGGCGACCGTGATCAACGCCCTGTCGCTGCAGGTAGCCCTGGAGGATACCGGCATCGACACCCGGACGCAGAGCGCGCTACAGATGCAGGCCATAGCTGAGCCGTACATCCGTCGGCGCGCCATACGGCACCTAGAAAAGGGCAGAGTGGTGATCTTCGCGGGTGGCACGGGCAACCCCTACATGAGCACCGACACGGCGTCGGCGCTGCGGGCTCTGGAAATGGGAGCCGATGTGCTGCTCATGGCCAAGTACAAGGTGGACGGGGTCTATGACGACGATCCGCGGGGTGAACCCTGACGCCAAGCGTTTCGAACGTCTGAACTACGACGAAATCCTGGATCGCAGGCTTGCCATAATGGACACAACCGCGCTGACACTGTGCCAGGAAAACGACATGCCCATCGTTGTCTTCGACGTGTTCAAACCGGGCAACGTGGGATGTATACTCAGTGGAGAGCACGTAGGAACAACCATCGGTGGAGGGAGTAACCATGCCCGCGAAGGACGATGATACGCAGTTGACCGCGGAGCAGGTGCTGAGCGACGTAGATTCCAGAATGGACCGGTCGGCTGGATGCCTTCAGGCGCGACCTGAACCAGTTACGGACTGGTCGGGCCACGCCATCGCTGATAGAAAACGTTTCGGTAGACTATTACGGATCGGCCACTCCCCTCAAGCAGATTGCGTCCATCTCCGCCCCGGACGCCCGCGCCATACTGGTGCAGCCGTGGGACAAGGGATCGCTGCGGGAGATCGAGAGGAGCCTCCAACGCTCCGAGATGGGGTTCAACCCGTCAAACGACGGCAGCATGATCACGGTCCCGATCCCTCCTCTGACCAACGACCGCCGCCAGGAAATGGTCAAGCTGCTCCGACGCAAGGCGGAGGACGGCAAGGTTTCGCTGCGCAACGTCCGGCGCGACGGTCTGGACGCCCTGCGCAAAATGGAGAAGGACAAGGTCATTTCGCAGGACGAGAACCGTCGGGCCCAGGACCAGTTGCAGAAAGTAACCGACGGCCACACCAAGCAGATAGAAGAGACCTCATCCGCCAAAGAGACGGAGATTCTCCAGGTCTAGCCCGAACCCTTGCCTGCTTCAGCGGAGAAGAGCGAAGCGGAACGGAGCAGATTGAGCGCATCTGAAGGAGTTGGGCCGCCGCCCCGCGACCGGGGCGCTCAGGGCCCCTCCACGTCGCGTTCATCATGGACGGAAACGGCCGCTGGGCCCAACAGCGGGACCTGCCGCGGCTGGAGGGCCACCGAGCGGGAGTTGAGCGCATCCAGATCCTGCTGGAGACGCTGACCTCCTACGGCGTGAAGTTCGCGACCATCTACGCCTTCTCCACTGAAAACTGGGGCCGTCCGCAGAACGAAGTAGACGGCCTGATGAGCATATTCTCCGATGCCATTGATGTGCAGACTCGCCAACTGCACGAGCGCAATGTCCGGATAGTACACCTTGGCAAGACCAGCAACATGGATCCGGAGTTGCGTGGCGCAATCGAACGGGCCCAACTGTTGACGCAAGACAACACCGGCATCACCCTCAACGTGGCCTTCGACTACGGCGGCCGGGACGAAATACTGCGGGCGGTCCGGCGGATAGTCCGCGATGGCTTGTCCCCGGAGCAGGTCGATGAGACCACGTTCTGCCGATACCTGTTCACCGCCCACTGCCCCGACCCGGACCTGATCATCCGCACGGGGGGAGAGCAGCGAATCAGCAACTTCCTACTGTGGCAGTCGGCGTACAGCGAGTTCTACCACACCTGCACCCTATGGCCAGACCTTGAGCCTGCTGAGCTGGAGCAAGCGCTAGAAACGTACCGCACCCGTCAGCGGCGCTACGGCAAGGTAGCCGAACCAGAGACCTGACCATGCCAGGTCAACTGGCTATCCGGGTGGTGTCGGGCGCCGGGGTCGCGGCCGTTGCCGTTTTCTGTATCTGGTTCGGTCCGCCATGGCTGACGCTCCTGGGCTTGGCAGGCGGAGCGATCGCCATCTTCGAGGCGTACCGCCTGACTTCCGAGGGAATGGGGCGCCTCCCTTTGGTCCTGGGACTCCTGGCGGTTGTCGTGCTGCTGCTGGCCGCCGAATCTGCGTCGGGGACTGCGGACTACCTCACTGCGTCCGGTATCGCCCTGGCGTTGTGGATGCTGGCCGGCACCCTCTGGTTCATCGCCGCGTATCAGGGCGAACGCCCGGTTGCCGCCCTGATGCTGTTGCTTGCAGGGCCCGTGTACGCCGGATTCCTTCTCGGCCACGGCCTCGCCATCTACGACCTGGGGTCCGGCGTCGAGGGTATGGAGAACGCAGGGCGGAACTGGCTGCTGTTCACGCTGGCCGGTACCTCCGCCAGCGACACCGGGGCTTACGCCGTGGGGAGGCTGCTGGGAAGACATAAAATGACGCCCGCGCTCAGCCCCAACAAGACTTGGGAGGGAGCAGCCGGCGGGTTCGCGGCATCGGTGCTGGCGATGGTGGCCGCAGGGATTCTGTTCGACCTAGGGGTGGAATTCTGGCAGCACGCCGTCGTCGCGCTGGTGGTGGCTGTGGTGGCGCAGTTGGGAGACCTTTTCGAGTCCCTCCTGAAACGACAGGCCGACCTGAAGGATTCTGGTAGTATAATGCCCGGACACGGCGGCCTCCTGGACCGCATTGACAGCATCCTCTTCGCCTTGCCCGCCGTATATTACCTGGTGGCAGTGGTGTTTGGGCTATGAGAAAGATCGTAGTTCTTGGGTCGACAGGTTCGATCGGGCGGCAAACGCTGGATATCGTCCGGGCCTTTCCCGACGAGTTCGAGGTGATCGGGCTGGCGGCGGGCACCAATACAAAACTGCTCAAAGAGCAGGTGGCAGAGTTCCAGCCCGCCCACGTGTGGAGCGCCGCGGCAGGGGCCGGAGAGTTTCCCACGGCGGCCTTCACGCCGATGGAGGAAATGGTCACCCTGCCCCGCGTGGACCAGGTCATGGTGGCACTGATGGGCAGCGTGGGACTGACCCCAACGCTCAACGCGCTGGCCGCAGGAAAGCAGGTGGCACTGTCCAATAAAGAACCCATTGTCATGGCGGGCAAGCTGATCAAGGACTTCGAGGCTCTCTACGGCGGCAGGGTGCTGCCGGTGGACAGCGAACCAAGCGCCATCTGGCAGTGCCTGCAGGGTGAGGACAACGAGATCCTGCGCATCCTGATCACCGCCTCGGGAGGGCCATTCCGTACCACTCCGCTGGAGGATATTGAAAATGTCACCCCGGAGCAGGCATTGCGGCACCCGACTTGGAAGATGGGCCAGAAGATTACCATCGACTCAGCGACGCTGATGAACAAGGCGTTCGAGGTGATCGAGACTCACTGGCTGTTCAGCGTGCCGTGGGAGCGCATCGAGGTGGTGGTACACCCGCAGAGCACCATCCACTCCATGGTGGAGTTCGCCGACGGGTCTGTGAAGGCGCAACTCGGTCCTCCCGATATGCGACTGCCGATCCAGTACGCGCTGTTCTATCCACAACGGCTGCCGAACTCCATGATCCCGCGGCTGGACACGTCGATTTCGCACAGCCTTAACTTCGACCCACTGGAGCCAAACCGCTACCCGTGCTTCTCGCTGGCCATCGAAGCAGCACGGAAAGGGGGCACTTACCCGGCGGTGCTGAGCGCGGCAGACGAGGTGGCAGTGCAGGCATTCCTCGACGGCAAGATTGGCTACGGCGGCATCCACCATCTGGTGGAACAGACGCTGTCTGAGCATGATTCCCTGCCCGGAGAGACGGCCGAAGAGGTGCTGCAGGCCGACGCCTGGGCTTCTGCCCGAGCCTTCGAGCTGGCCAGCGGGTGATCCCGGTCGCTTTATCCGAGTGGTGAAAGGGACTATTGAGGGATTGGCGGAGATGGCGACGGACTTCATCGCGATAGACTTGGAGACGGCCAACTCAGACGTTCGCTCCATTTGCCAGGTTGGGCTAGTCTGCTTTCGCCAGGGCGCGCCTCACCGGGAATGGATGTCTTACGTAAATCCGAGGGACCATTTCGACCCGATGAACGTTAGCATCCACGGCATCACAGAGGCGAAAGTTCGCAGTTCCCCAGATTTCCCGCGAGTGGCCGGACACCTCCGGGAGATGCTGGATGGCGAAATCGTGATAAGCCATACTCATTTTGACCGCGTGGCTCTCGGGAAGGCCCTGGAAGGGCATGGGATTCCCGGCCCGGACTGCCATTGGCTGGATTCCGCCATGATTGCGCGGCGCGCCTGGAGGGGCCTGCGGGGCGAGGGGGGCTACGGGCTGGCCAATCTGTGCGGGATACTGGGATACAGCTATCAGCATCACGATGCTCTGGCCGACGCCAAGGCAGCCGGTGCAGTGGTGCTGGCAGCGATTGAACAGACGGATGTGGGACTGGACCAGTGGCTGAAACAGGTGAAACTGCCGGTGAGCGAGGGACCCCAAGTATCCATCCGCGCCAACCCTGCTTTCCTGAACGGATGGGAGGCGGCAACAGTTGTGAAAGCCGCCGTACCGGCCGGTCGGCATGACGATGATGAAAGACCACGAGCGAACGGGTCGCAGGTAAGATCTGGCTCACAAAAAAGCGGGTTTTGGGAGCGCCTCGCTAGGCGCAGGCGGAGCGGCGCTAAGTAAAGGTCGATAAGAGCCGGCCCGCTCTTGATTCCAGGGGCTTTGACAATAAGCATCAGGTTCTCTCATCCTGGCAGTCAATTCTATCCGGAGTTGTGGTTCGCTCCCGATGGCGACTAAGTTCATCTCGATAGACCTGGAGACGGCCAACCCCAACCCGTGGTCAATCTGCCAGGTAGGCATCGCGGAGTTCAGCGACGGAGCGATGGTCAGCGAGTGGATGTCATACGTCCATCCTGCGGAGCGTTTCAACCGGGACAACGTGGCGATTCACGGCATCACTGAAGCGGCGGTCCGGGGCTGGCCCAGACTCACGGAGGTGTCGGACCGACTCGCGGAAACCCTGAACGGCAAGATAGTGGTCAGCCACAGCCAGTTCGACCGGGTGGCGCTGGAACAGGCCTTCGATCGGCATGGAATCCGGAGGCTGAACTGCTCGTGGCTGGACTCGACGATGGTGGCGCGCCGGGCGTGGGAGGGCCTCTCCAAGCGCGGATTCGGGCTGGAAAACCTCTGCCGGCTGCTGGGCTACCGGTACCAGAGGCACGACGCGCTGGGCGACGCGAAAGCCGCTGGAGTGGTGGTGCTGGCGGCCATCGAGCAGACCGGGATCGGGCTGCTGCAGTGGCTGGAGCAAGTGGAACTGCCCATCGGGGACGGCCCGCGCAAGCCAATACGCACCTTGTCCCAGATGCCGCCCGGCACCGACGATAGCGCCTCTGAGGTGGTGAATCGACCGTCGAACCAGGTGCTCAGTCCCGAAATGCTGCGCCTGTTGTCCGGCCAAGGCGCGGGCGACTCCGGGCAAAACTAACTGACCTCTCCGAGAGGGAGGCACTCAGGAATGCACAACACCAGGCACCGCTGATGGATACAGTACTTTTCGCGATAGTCACATTGATCCCACTGCTGCTGGTCTTGGTGGTGGTCCACGAGCTGGGCCACTTCTTTACGGCGCGGCCTTCGGGGTGAAGGTGCTGGAGTTCGGCGTGGGCTTCCCACCGCGGGCCTTCGGCATATACACCGGGCGGACTCCGGTGATGCTGCACCCGCAGACCCGCTTCGTGGGGCTGGAGGGCCCACAGGACCTGCGTCCCGGGCAGCAGGTCAAGGTTGGCTCGCTGGATGATGCGGGGTGCGGCCTGGTGGCGTTCGAGGTGGAGTTGCACCGAAAGCGCGAGGAGGACGAACCGGAGAGCAACTTCAACCATCCCGTCGACAACCTGTTGTGGCACGAGGGCAAGGTCCGCTCGGTAGGAGATGGGTCATTCGAACTGGCCGACATGATGTACTCGGTCAACGTGATCCCGCTGGGAGGGTTCGTGCGGCTGGCGGGAGAGTCGAACCCCACAGTGCCGCTGAGCCTCGCGTCCCGCCGCCCGTGGGAGCGTGTCGTGGTACTGGCGGCGGGATCGCTGATGAACGCACTGCTGCCGTTGCTCATCTTCACGATCCTGTTCATGCTGCCGCAGCAGGTGGAGTTGGGGCGCCTGACCACTACGAACGTGGCACCGGACAGCGCGGCCGCCGAGGCGGGGATCCTGCCGGGGGGACGTGCTGCTTGAGGCCAACGGGAAACCGGTGGAGAACAGGCTGGACCTGACCCGCGAGATCAACCTGAACGGGGGCTCGGGCATGACCGTCCTGCTGGAGCGGGAGGGCGAGGCCGAGACCGTGTCGCTGCAACCACGCTTCGATGCCGACAGCAGCCGGTGGCTGGCCGGGGTCATGGTGGAGCTGGAGGACAGGAGGGTGGTCAGCCGGTCGCGTCCGATCTGGGAGGCAGTGCCGGAGAGCTTCGTGAGCACGTGGGAGCTGATGGTACTGCTGAAGCAGTCAGTGACGGGCATGATCTCCGCCGGGGCGGCTCCCGAGCTGTCGGGGCCCATCGGCATCGCGCAGATGACGGGCGAGGTCAGCCGGGACGGTGGGCGTGTCTGGCTGGCTGAGCGTCGGCATTCTGCTGAGCATCAACTGGCCATCATCAACATCCTGCCGTTCCCGATGCTGGACGGGGGCCGCATCGTGTTCGTGGTGATCGAGTGGGTGCGGCGCGGCAAGCGAATCTCGCCTGAGAAAGAGGGGCTGGTCCACATGATCGGCCTGGCCATCATCATCGCCGGAGTGGTGGCGATCAGCGCCAACGACATCCTGCGGCTGATCGAAGGCGGTCGGTTCATCGGTGGGTAACCACGGCCGATACAGCCGTGGCCACCCACCACAAACGTCGCCTAGCTTTCGGATTCAGGGCCCTCTTCATCGACGGCGGGATCAACTGGGTGCTCTATCCGGTCCAAGGACACGGTGTAGAGGCCGGTGTTGCCTACGCTTTGCCAGGGAGTGCCAATCTCCACGAAGTGGGTGCCTGGATGGTAGTGGTCCACTACTGACTGGGCCGGGTCAGGCTCCGAGCGATGCCTGACATGCCCACTTTCAAGATAGGTGGCCCAAATGCCGACGGGCTCGGGTGCTGCGGTCACTGACAATTCGTAGATCCCCTCTTCCGCGATTTCGAACTTGAAAAAGTCGCGGTCGTCCAGGGATTCCAGGCCGTACAGCGGCCGGACGTGACCCTCTTGGGTCTCCCACCAGTCCCAGGCGTTAATCCCTGGATCGTCTGGCGAGACGTCCGAGTCTATGCAGGCCGTGATGGATTCTCCAGGGTGCAGCGTTACATCCCGGGCCGTCTTGTAATCGTCGGCGTAGTCGTCGACGCGGACTGAGAGGGTGTAGAAGCCCAGGTAGCCGGGCGCCTGTGCTCCTGAACCGACGGCGATGTAGTAGGCGCCATCGTCCTGGGGCGTGAAATGGGCGCGGGCCCAGTTGTTGATGAACCCGCCCTGGTCATGTTCGCCCATCACCTGCTCACCCTCTTCGTTGACGATTTCCAGTATGCTGGGGTCGATCAGTTTGTTTTCTACATACTGAATGAAGAAATGCTCCTCAGGGCCGGGTCCTGCGAGATCCAACGCGCTCACAAGCTCGATGAAGTAGTCCTCTCCACCTGTTGCTTCGAAGCCGTACCAGTCTCTGCCTTCGTCCTCTGCCGTCAACTCTCCGTCAATCTTGCCGAGGAGGTTTGGCTCGATGTTTTCGGCGTTATCAATCCATTCCGGCAGATCCGGTTCGACAATCGAGGGTTCCTCAATGAGCGGATCTTCGACGGGCGGAGTGATGGTCGGTTCTCCGACAATCGACCTGGGCCACCAGGTGCTCCGGGTCATCGGAGAGGCCGTAGAACACGCGGTTCAGCCTGCCGTCGTCGGAGTTGACGGGCCAGAGTCCGCTGTCACGCGTTATCTTCGTTGTAGTAGAGGCCGGTGCCGGCCCAGCCGTTTTCGACGCTGATGCCGTCGAGGTCTTCGTCGTCGGCCTGCACCGTGTAGCCGAAGATGAGTTTCGTCGGTGCCGTCGCCCCGCACGACGTTGGCGACCCTGCGGTTCTCGCCCGCCTGCAGGTACAGGCCGGCGTAGTCGGTCTGCTCACCCGTGTCGGGATTGACGGTGGTCACGGGGTGGGTGAAGTGGGCAGTGATCAGGATCACGTCACCCTGGGTGTACGCTGTCAGGCTGTCTTCGTTGTCGGAACCCCACGGAATTTCCCCGGGGACCGAGCGGATCTCTAGGTCGTAGATCCCGACGCCGTCGTCGTCCTTGATGGTGATGGTGCACTCGCCGCCGTCCCCGTCGTCGTCGGAGTTGTTGAATTTCACCAAGTAGGTCTCGTCGGGCTCGGGGAGTATGTCCTCCAGGGTGTGAAAGTCCCGGCCCATCTTGCCCTTCTTCGACTGATAGCCGTTGCTGGCCTGGCCTTCGGCATACATGTACTCGTAGTCGGACTCGTCAGCGGTCTGTGCCTCTGTGTACCAGAAGACTCTGATCTTTTTGTAGGGCGCGGTGTGATCCTTATACTTTTTGCGCACTACCAGCCTGAAGTCGTCGCCTTCTTCTACTGGACTCTCAACGCATTCCATGTAGAGCCATGGCTCGCTACTTTCTGCGTGGGCGGTACCGGGAGGTGGTATGAGGGTGCCAAAGGCAATGGCGAGCGACACCACTGCGAGAACGGCGATAAGTCCAAATCTTCGGGCGCTCCAGATTCCCAAATTTCCGATATGTCGCTGTACAGTAGCCATGATGCGTTCCTCCTTTGTGTTTTCCTTGTTTAGAATATTGATTATTGCGATTTGTGATATATGTTCAGCCAACAAATGCCGCAAATCTCCAATGTCTTGCACTTCCAGCGGGTGGGTAGGCAGCCTGGGCGAGGTCTAGCGGGATATTCGGCAGGCTATTCTGAACCTGGGTCTATGGGCGATGGCACCCTGGGTGGGTGATGGCAGGCTTGATGGCCTACTGGACCTGTCAATCGCTTTATTCATGATTAGTATATTCAGTATCACTAATGTCGGTACAAAAGTATTACGCAGTTGTGGAGAAACCGGATTTCCGGGTTGAGGACCAGCGAGGACACTTCCCTACGCAGGCCTTGGCTGTCCTGGCAAGGCAGCTGCTCGAAAAGCGGAAAAGTGGCAGTTCAGCCGGGGCTTATGATGTAACGCTTCCTCGTAGACGGGAATGACGTCATCGAGGACCGGCGCGGCTGAATCGGCTGCTGAGCCGGAGGCAGAATTTCCGGTTTTTCCGCTCATTTCCGTTCATTTCCGCTCATTCCTGCAGTTTTGTAGTTCGACAGATCTTCAATGAGCGGGACCGCTCGACGGGTAGCGCGATCACCAGCACTGTCATAAGGGCAAGAGACTCATCACCAGGCTGGGCGAGCGGCAACTGTCATGAAATCTCGAATGGCCTTCGAGTAGTCAGAGCTTTCGGAGAGAGGAGGATCTGCTGAGGGAATGCGGCGCCCCAGTGGGACAGGAATTTCCCACTGGCGTCCCATTTTGTCCCGTTTTGTCCCAAATTCACATTCCGCCCTATCTGGAGTTTCGCCAATTTGCCGAAAAATCGCGATTCCCGTCCCATTTTGTCCCATTTGTCCCACCCGGACTTTCCGGCCTGTTCGCGGATGACCTGACGGGCATGGCTTAAGCCCCCAAATTAGAGAACTGGCATGGGCGCAGGGGTATATGCAGATATGGTACGGAGGCGTCATGAGGCTTGGCAAGGAGCAAATGTCATCAAAACGCGATTGACCCGGCGGGAGGTGCAGGGCAATCGCGTCTTATTTGTTAGCACACAGAATCAGTCTAATGCCCTTGGATATGGGAGTGGCAGTGGCAGTGGCAGTACCTCCTTCGGTTCCGGGTGCGAGGGTAGACGGGGGTTTGGATTCCCGCCTGCGCGGGAATGACGACTTATAGGGCCTCCGGCGTTTAAGACGCGATTGCCCCGGCGGGTGGTGCTACGCGCTGGAAGGTGCCCACTCTTTCGTGTAACATAGCGCCCTGCACTGCATTGGCTGGCTAGGTAATAGGGGCCAGCTGTTTCGACAGAGTTGGAGCGAGTTGAGATGATCAAGCGACGGCCAACGAAACCAGTCTACGTCGGCGGCGTGAAGGTGGGCGGCGACGCCGAAATCACTGTCCAGTCCATGACCAAGACCGACACGCGCGACGTGGCGGCCACGGTGCGGCAGATCCACGAGCTGGAGGAGGCGGGCTGCGACATCATCCGCTCCGCCGTTCCGGACATGGATGCCGCCATCGCCATGGGCGAGATCAAGAAGCAGATCAACATTCCGCTGATCGCCGACATCCACTTCCACTACCAGCTGGCGCTGAAGTGCCTGGAGGGCGGGGTCGACTGCCTGCGCCTGAACCCCGGCAACCTGCGCAACGAGGACCAGGTTCGGGAGGTGGCGACGCGGCCAAGGCGCAGAACGTGCCCATCCGCATCGGGGTCAACTTCGGCAGCCTGCCCCCGGTGGGCGGCATCGGCCGGACGCGGGGCTTCTCGCGGCACATGGACCTGGTCAACAAGCTGCCCAAGGCCGACGAGGCCAACGAGGGCGACTACAGCGCGGTGGACCACATGGTGGCGACGGCGCTGTGGGAGATCAGCCTGCTGGAGGAGCAGGACTTCGACCAGATCAAGATCTCGATGAAGGCCTTTGACGTGCCGACGACCGTGGAGGCGTATGCGCGGCTGGCCGAGATGGTGCCATACCCGCTGCACCTGGGGATAAACCGAGGCGGGCACCAAGACGTCCGGGTCCATCCGCACCTCCGTCGGACTGGGAGTGCTGTTGTACCAGGGCATCGGCGATACCATCCGGGTGTCGCTGAGCGACGACTCGGTGGACGAGGTGATCGCGGGCTACGAGATCCTGAAGTCGCTGAACCTGCGAAGCAAGGGCGCGGTGCTGGTGGCATGCCCGAGCTGCGGGCGGGCCGACGTGGACGTGCGCAAGCTGGCCAACGACGTGGACGCGCTGCTGCGCAAGAGCAACAGGAACATCAAGGTCGCGGTGATGGGATGCGAGGTCAACGGTCCCGGCGAGGCCAAGGACGCCGACGTTGGCATCGCCGCCGGAGCGGGCCGGGCGGTCATCTTCCGCAAGGGCGAGAAGGTGCGGGTGGTGCCGGAGGCGGATATGCTGACGGCGCTGATGGAAGAGGTGGAGGCGGAGCCGGAGCCTGCGGACTGACCGATTTCCACAACCCGGGCTGAACCCACAGGCCACAGGGCCGATTTTTGGTTTATCCTTAATCCCTGTGGCCTTTTCCTTTGTCCCTCCATCCTGATACAAGGCAGTAACCGTTATGAAGTTTACGAAAATGCTCAGCAGGACGCTGCGCTCCGATCCGTCCGAGGCGGAAACAGCCAGCCATCGCCTGATGCTTCGGGCCGGGCTCATACAGCAGGTGGCCGCGGGAGTGTATTCGTATCTCCCGCTGGCGTGGCGGTCGCTCAAGAAGATCGAGAACATCATTCGCGAGGAGATGGACGCCGCCGGCGGGCAGGAACTCATGCTGCCTGCGCTGCAACCGATGGACCTGTGGGAGCAGACGGGGCGGCGTGCCGCGTTCGGGGACAACCTGTTCTCGCTGCAGGACCGGAGCGGACGGGCAATGGTGATGGCGCCGACCCACGAGGAGGTGATCACCAACGTGGTAAAGAGCAACGTGCAGAGCTACCGCGACCTGCCGCAGTTGCTGTACCAGATCCAGACCAAGTTCCGCGACGAACCGCGCCCCCGCGCCGGGCTGGTCCGGGTGCGCGAGTTCGACATGAAGGACGCCTACAGCTTCAATGCCGACGACGCCAGCCTGGACGACACCTACCAGGACATGGCGCAGGCCTACCGGAACATCTTCCGGCGCTGCGGGCTGCCGGTGCTGATGGCCCAGGCCGACAGCGGGGCCATCGGCGGCAAGGACTCGCACGAGTTCCTGCTGCCGACGGATACGGGCGAGGACACGGTCATCACCTGCTCCGGCTGCGACTACGTAGCCAACGCGGAAAAGGCCGAGTCGGTCTACCCTCCCGTCGAGCGGGAGGCGGAAGCGCCGTTGCGGGAGGTGGCCACCCCCGGCATCAAGACCATCGCCGGGCTGGCCGAGTTCGTGGGCGTGCCGGAGTCGAAGACGCTCAAGGCCGTGTTCTACATGGCCGACGGGGAGCCGGTGTTCGTGACCATTCGCGGCGACCTGGAGGTCAACGAGGTCAAGCTGAAGAACGCGCTGCACTGCGCCGACCTGCGCTTCGCCGAGGACGAGGAAGTGCGGGCCGCCGGGTCTGGTGGCGGGCAGCGCTTCGGCGGTGGGCATCACCGGCATCCGCAAGGTTGCCGACCCGTCCATCGAGAGCGGCAACAACTTCGTGGTGGGCGCCAACAAGCCGGACACCCACATGACCGGCGCCAACTACCCCACGGGACTTCGAGGTGGACCTGCTTACCGACATCGCGCTGGCCCAGCCGGGGCTGCTGTGCGCGCAGTGCGGCGGAATACTGGAGGCGACCCGCGGCGTGGAGGTGGGCCACATATTCAAGCTGGGTACGTTTTTCAGCGAAACGCTGGGGGCCAACTACCTGGACGCCGAAGGGCGGAACCTGCCGATAACCATGGGGTGCTACGGCATCGGCGTGGGGCGGCTGCTGGCGGCGGCCATCGAGCAGAACCACGACGACCAGGGCATCGTGTTCCCGCATCCCATCGCGCCCTACCAGGCCCACCTGGTGGGGCTGAACCTCTCGAACGAGGAGGTCGCGGCGGCGGGTCAGAACCTGTATGACGAGCTGAACGCGGCGGGCATCGAGACGCTGTACGACGACCGGCCCGACGCGGCAGCGGGGGTCAAGTTCAACGACGCGGACCTGATGGGCCTGCCGGTGCGGCTGGTGATCAGCCCACGCAACCTGAACAACGGAGTGGTCGAGGTGCGGGGCCGCGAGGAATCGGACGCGGTTACGGTGCCGCTGGCCGAGGTGGCGGCGGCGGTGCGGTCGCGGCTGGCAGTGGAGTGAGCGAGAGCCCAGGAGGAGTATTTATGCCCTCATTCGAGGAAATAGAAAAGAAGAGGCAAGAGAATTTTCGGAATACATCCCCAACAATCAGTGAAACAGGGCGAATACCCCTGGACATCCAGCGATCATGGCTGCTAGCCCAAGACTGCGAGGAGGAGAATCTTTTCCCCGCATTACGCGGTCAAGACGGAGCGCGAGAATTCTTCGCAAATCGCGATATCCAATGGTGGCACCACGGAGCCAGCGGAGACCGTACCGGCAGTCCCACGCGCAATATGGCAAGTTCCCAGATCGCCTGCATCAACTTTCTGCTGCCGCTGGTCGAGATCGACGGCGCACTGACTGCGGTGTTGCGTGCCATTGACGACGATGTGCAGGGCGTGGTTCCAATCAAACATCGGGGGAAGGTCTCCCCGGTTGAGCTGGAATGGATTGGTGTGGATGAACCCCTGGAAAAGGGTGCGCCACCAACGCGCGGAGCGAACACCACCAGTGTTGACGCTTTTGTGGTCGCCGAGACGGGAACCGGGCTGAGGGCGTATTTGCTGGAATGGAAATACACTGAGATTTACAAGTATGGTCCCAACCTGGCAAGGGGAAATACAGAGACTCGACGCCGAAGGTACGCCCACCTGTACAACGACGTATCATCGTGCTTCAAGAGCGACCAAGTCCCGATGGAATCCTTCCTGTACGAGCCGTTTTACCAGCTAATGCGGCTGAGGCTGCTGGCGGACCGGATGGTACGGGAGGGAGAGTTGGGAGTTACCGAGGCGAAAGTAGTCGTGGTTGTGCCCGAGGGGAACACCACGTACCGTGAGCGCATCACGTCGCCGCCGTTGGCGGAACGGTTTTCGGAGCACAATAAGGTCTCGGATGTGTTTCGCGCCACGCTGAAACGCCCCGACGAAGCCTACGCCGTGGTGTGTCCGTCCGTCCTGGTAAGCGCCGTCGAGGGGGAATGTGGCGACAAAGCATCCGAGTGGGTCGAATACCAACAGAAGCGCTACGGGCTTTAGGCCCACCTTTGTAGGACCGTTGAGAGTTAAATTTGCATCGTACCTGATGGCACTGGCAGCCCTGCTGGCTGCGCTGGTGGCCTGCGGGGCGGACGAAACGCCGACGGAACAGTTGGTCGCGGCTACGGCGACGCCTCAGCAGATTGCGGCTGAGCAGGCCACCGAGGTATCGCCAACCGCGGCGCCTCGGCTGGCCACGGCCGCCGTTGCGCCGACGGACAATCCCGGACCTGCGCCTACGGAGGCTCCGGCCACCGCTACCTCGCCACCGCCCACGGCTACGCCGACGGAGACGCCTCCGACCGAGGAGCCCCGGTTGCCGACCGTGGGGGTTACGGCTGGTCATCCGGCGGCGCTGCTTACCCTGCTTCCCGAATCCACGCTGTACGTCTATATCAATCTGGAAACGGTGTCACAGAGGCCGGAACTGATGGAGGATGTTGAGTTTCAACTGGCCCACTTTGTCAGTACAGACGAGCTGCCGTTTGCCGAGGAACTTCTCGTGTCGGTGGGAGTGAAGGCCCTGATGCTCTCGTCCCCGTTCCTCTCATACGAGTGGGCAATTGTCCTGCTGGGCGACTTCACACACTTGGCCGACGCGCTAAAGATGGCAAGCCAATCGGGGGCAGGCCTCGCTGTCAGCGTTGCCGAAACCCACCAGGGGACCGACATTTACACCTTGACCCAGACCGGGAGTTCGGGGTACCAGTCCGAAATATACCTGGCCGTGCTGGACCAGGAAACACTGACGGCCAGTCCTGACCTGGTGGCGGTGCAGGATGTGCTCAATCGATACGGAGACGGCGGCGAACTGCCCGAGACGCTGGTGGCGATGGTGGAGGAATGGGGTCTCAGCGATTACTTCCTGGTCACACCCCTGGCAGGCCTCGGTGATGCAATGGAAGGCCCGATGGGCGCCGCCAGGTTTTTCGCGTATCACGCCACACTAGGGGAGCTATCGTCCACCACCCTGAGGGGCATGTGGCAGTTCGACAATCGAGAGCAAGCTGCCACGGCAGTGACCTGGCTGCAGCAACAAGATGAGCCGCACTGGAGAAATATCGGCTGGGGAGCGTCGGTATTGATCGACGAGTGGCGACTCGAGAACTCCACGGTCTACGGCGAAGCCACAGTGCCCGACGAGGACATGCCGGCCCTGGTGCAGGGCAACTAGCCGATACTACGCCTTGTCGCGACGCGGCTCGAGGCGTTCGCTGAGCATCAGGAGGTTTTCCTGCAGCGGCGGGGCGAGCTGGTGGGCGGAACTGCGCAGCATCATCAGCAGCCGGAACTGTGCGGCGAGGTCGTCGGCGAGGGCGCGCTTGGCCTCAGCCAAAGTGTCGGCCTCGACCGGGACCCGGACTCCGTTCAGGGGCAGGTGCTGCTTGGCCTCTCCCGCCCAGTACTTGTCCAGGCTGTCGAGAACAAGGATGGGAATCTCGTCCTTGATGACGACGTTGGCATCGGGAGAGCAGTCCTCCGGCCGCAGGGTGTCGACCAGCACGCGGGTAATCTCGGAGTGGCTGATGTGGAAGACCGCTGAGTTGGGCTGGCTGGAGTCAACGTCCCGCCAGACCCAGTCGGACGGCGAGGCGTAGTCCACCCCCGGTTCAATGACGACCGGCAGGGCCAGGTCCTCAGCGAGCGGGCGGTCTTCAGGGGGCTGAGCAGGGCTGGTCTGCTGACTATCCGGCATGGTTGTGACTCCCGTCGGTGTCCAGCTCCCAGGCGGAGTAGACCTGCTCGGGCAGGGTGATAGGGCCAACGGCGTCCTCATACTCGCGGACGTGCTTGGCGGTCAGCAGGGCGATGGCCTTGAGCATCTGGGGGCTCACCTTGATGCGGGCGCGTAGGATGGGCTCGCGCTCCTCCATCTGCTCACCAAAGAACAGCACCGCCGAGTAAAGGCTGCTGAAGATGTGCATGGAGTCGGCGTAGAAGGTGATAGGGTCGAGGGAGCTGCCCTCATTGGCCTGGGTGTCGCCGGGCCGGGCGTAGGTCTCCTCGTTGGGGGTCTGGTCTTCGGGGGGAACGTAGGGCCGCTGAACTACTGGCATGGCGCCTCTCCTGAGCTTGGCGAAGGATGGCTGGGGTCGGTTTGCGCCATTATACATGAAGGGACTGTGGCACGAAGGTGCGCACGGTTACTTACGGGTAATTGGCGCCGGGTGCCGTCACGCCCGGACGTAAAACGGACAGCAGAGTGGAGGAGCAGTGATTCCAGGCGTCGACCAGTCGGCAAGGAATCGCTCCACCCCGGGAGTGCTGGGAAGCATGAACACGGGGTTGAAGAGCGGTCAACCAGCAGGGCCGGTGTGCAGATCCCCCTTTGAGATGCGCTGCAGGTGGTGGCATCCGACGGCGATGGCCTCCCATTCGGAGTCGGCCAGGTTCTCACCGATGAGGCGGCAGTGTTGCATCACGGCATAGGCCAAGGCGTCCTTGGAGGCGTTGGGCTTGCCTGCCATCGCCGTGCGCACCTCGGAAACCGGATAGGCGATGACAGAAAGGGCATGGCCGTCCGCCCAGCGCTGCAACGCATCGACGAGCAACCGGGCCCCAGAGGCACGGTGACCAAGGCCACCGGAGCGACTGCAGACCAGAGCGGCAGGACGCCAGCGGGAATAAACGGCCCCCAATTCCCGGAGGTGGCCGGTAATTCGCTCAGCGGGATCGAGCTTCCTCGCGATCCTCAAGTCCGCAACACCACTGGCGGCGACGCTGGGACTGACCTGACCCGCGTCCTCAGGTGGCCGGATCACCGCCCAACCTGTCTGGCGCAGACCTGGGTACACGGCCAGCAGCCTGGACTCATCCGGGGGATGGTGGTCCGCGCGAGAATCGTTCGCAGGGCCACGTTCGGCACGGTTGGGCTGCACGTTCAAACGGACCGCCCCGCCGGTCCTGTCCGGCTGATGTTCTCCCGGTCTGGATTGACGTCTGCGATGCGAAGAGAGGGACCTCCCTGCTGCTCTTTGCCGCTGTACAAGCCCGTGTAGTAGATTGCCCCACACTGGAGGCAGAGCCAATCGTCGTGGTCGTAAATCAGGTCGCCCTGGCACTTGAGACATGCTCCCAATCGGAAGATTTTCACGTCGAATTCCGAGTTCGTCATTGTTAAGAATTGAGCTGAGCCCGAGAAACAATGTATCAGAATATATGTTCTGTTTCAACTGGTGCGAGTCAGTCCCTGCCAGGTACTTCTGTAGGCTCCTTGGTTACGGTGAGCGGCGAGCCGACGCATGGTTGTTGGGCACAGCGGACGCGTGATATTCTCTATGCCACAGTGCCCCTGTAGCTCAGTGGATAGAGTGCCGGCCTCCGGAGCCGGAGACGAGAGTTCGACCCTCTCCGGGGGTACCACAGTCCGATTAGACCTTCCTCCTTTCAGCTTGTTTCGGGGCGTGGCCCAGCGGCAGGGCGCCTGGTTTGGGACCAGGAGGTCGGCAGTTCAAATCTGCCCGCCCCGACCAACAGATTTCCGTGACGACCTCCTTTCTTTTTGCGACTCCATTCCCTCTCCCAATCCGTTCCCCGTGCGCTAAAATGACGTGCGTTCGATAGAGCAGGAGGGATAGACATGCGACTGGAAGGAAAGGTTGCCATCATCAGCGGCGGCGCCCGGGGAATGGGGGCCGAGGAGGCGCGACTGTTCGCGCGGGAAGGCGCCAAGGTCGTGATCGGCGACGTGCTGGAGGCAGACGGCCATCAGGTGGAGGCGGAGATCAACGAGGGCGGCGGCGATTGCGTATTCGTGCGGCTGGATGTGACCAGCGAGGACTCGTGGGCCGAGGCGGTGGCTGCCGCGGTCTCGCGATTCGGGAAGCTGGACGTGGTGGTCAACAACGCCGGCGTGGTGGCCCGCGGGGTGCTGGAAGACACCACAGTCGCCGAGTGGGACCGGGTGATGGATGTGAACGCCAAGGGGGTGTTCCTGGGCACAAAGGCGGCAATTCCCGAGATGCGCAAGGCCGGAGGCGGTTCCATCGTCAACATCTCCTCGATGTCGGGCATGGTTGGCCAGAGCTACATCCAGCCGGTGTACAACGCTTCCAAGGGCGCGGTGCGGATCTTTACGAAATCTGCTGCCATCCAGTATGCCAAGGAGAACATCCGGGTGAACTCGGTGCATCCCGGGCCCATCGACACGCCGATGGCCGGGGAGCGGATGAATGACGCTGAATTGCAGCGAGAGGCCGAGGAGCGCTCACCCCTGGGCCGCACCGCCCACCCCATCGAGGTGGCCTACGGGGTGCTGTACCTGGCGTCGGACGAGTCGTCGTTCGTTACGGGGGCGGAGTTGGTGATCGACGGAGGAGCGACGGCGCAGTAGGGGGTGGAGCCAGTCAGCCGAGCTCGATAGTGCCGCGGTCAGGGTCCTGCTCAAAGGCCAAGATTTCGTCGTAGTTGTCGCGGAGCAGGGACTCGGCCACGGCCTCCGGGGTATTGCCGGTGCGTATCAAGATAACCTTTGGGGGAGGTCGCAACCGTTCGCTCAGAAGGCGAAAGTCAGCGTCCTTTGTGATTACGTCGAAATCATTGTCCCCGGCGTAAAACCAAATACTTTCGTCAGGTGTGCGGCGTGCCAATACTTCGCTTATATGAATGGAACCCGGGAACAAGTCCTGCAATCTGACGCTGAGCCTTCTGGACAAATTCTGATCGAAAATCAGCTTCATCCAGAATCGCGGATCCATGGCTCGTTAACTACTTGGAATGCCTCTTCCGTCCAAGCGACTGCGCCAAGAGGCACAAGCGCGAACCGGCGTTTGCGGTCGGCGACGAAAGCTATGCTGGCAAGAATGTCCTCAATGGTGAGATCCGGGAATTCGTCCAGTATCTCTTCGTAGGCCATACCCCCAGCCAACCACTCGAGGATGTCGTAGACGGTGATCCGCATGCCCCGGATGCAAGGTTGGCCGAATCGCTTGTCCGGCTCGATGGTGATGATGTGGGAGTAATCGTTGACCGACGGCATATCCGGAGGGCTCGTCAGTCCACGACGCTCGCGGCGGCGGCAAAGGCCAGGCAGGCACTGATGTCGTCCCGGGTCAACCCAGGTAATTCATCGAGCAGCTCCTCCTCGGACTTGCCCAGTGCCAGGTATTCGAGCACATCCCCGACAGCGATGCTGAGATCGCGAATGCAGTGCTTTCCGTATCGCTTGCCAGGTTCGACGGTGATAATCTTTGTAAAGTCGATTGGTGTGTAGTCAGCCATCGCTTGCATCCTCCTGCGACGCGATAGTTTCATCTTAACATCGCAATGCCGAGCGACAGGACTTGGCGCATACCCTTTGAGGAGCATCCAATGCAAGAGCGACCACTGGCGGGGAAGATAGCGTTAGTTACGGGAGCGGCCAGCCCGATGGGGTTGGGGCGGGCGATGACCGACGCGCTGGTGCGGGCCGGGGCGCGGGTGTCGATGATGGACATCAACCCCGACTGGCTGGGGCAATCGTCCAACGACCTGCGCGAGATCGGAGGCGACGACTGCGTGATGACACAGGTGGTTGACGTGACCTCCCCTCGCGAGGCCGAGGAAGCGGTAGCCCGGACCATTGCCGAGATGGGCGGGTTGCACATACTGGTGAACAACGCGGGCATCGCACCACGAAAATATGCTGCTGGGCGGCGACACCAAGAACAACTTCTGGGAGGTGTCGGCCGCAGAGTGGGACCGGGTGATGGCGGTGAACGCGGGCGGGCCGTTCTACATGTGCCGGGCCGTGGTGCCGCACTTCCTGGAGCAGGGGTGGGGGCGGATCATCGGGGTCACCACCAGCATGAACACCATGTATAACCCCGGCGGCACACCCTACGGCCCGTCCAAGGCGGCCCACGAGGCGCTGATAGCCATGGCGTCGCGGGAACTGGAGGGTACGGGCGTCACGGTCAACGTGCTGGTGCCGGGCGGAATGTCCAACACCAACCTGATCCCCGACGACGCGGTGCACAGCCGCGAGGGGATGATTCAGAACGACGTAATGCGGGCTCCGGTGGTATGGCTGGCCTCAGAGGCCTCCGACGGAACCAACGGGATGCGATTCATCGGATATTTGTGGGACGAGTCGCTGCCGCTGGAAGAGCGCATCGAGCGTGCCGGAGCCCCGGCGGCGTGGCCGCAGCTGGGAGCGCAGGCGATACGGCCCGGGCAGTAGATTGGCCGGAGATTCAGTAGTTGATTGATACGTGAGCAAGTTGATTGATACGTGAGCACCTTCTGCCGTATAAAATCGGCGGTGCGACTATAATTGTTTCTCAGCGGTCAAATACTAGTGGCCCGCACTGCTTTGATATGATGAGCTTGAAGGTAATCGGTCTTTTCGAGAGTCACCATCGGCACGTATCGCCGGTGGCTCCGTGCAATATTGTTCCACTCATCAGTTCACTAATATTTCGTACTCAGCTAGGTTTGCCCGAATAAGTCTGAAAAACGCTCTCTTTTGTCGCCGAATGCGGATACCACCATAATCCGTCTTCATGATGTTATGGGGCGTTCATTATTATTCTTGAATCAGTATTGACAAGGGCTGGCCCACAGGATTAAATGTCCATTGGACTATTGGGTGTGCAAGCCTTATGGTTTGTCTCGCCCGTTGTTAAATTCCGGTAGCTATCCGGGCCGGGTTTCCAGGAGGGAGTTCCCGGAGGGCCGGAGCAAAACTGAAAAACTACAGTAACCGATACAAGGAGGAATAGATGTCCGACCAAGCTGTGTCCCAGCAAGATATTGCACTTATGGCCCACCTGCTTCGGCGGGCCGGTTTCGGCGCCAGCAGGGATGAGATCGAGGCCAAGGCGCGCCAGGGGTATGACAGCGTAGTAAAGGAACTGCTGAACCCCGCTGACGACCCTGGTATCGACGAAGACCTGATGTATCGCGCCTATCCGTCGTATTTCGACAAGGCCGCCATAGAGACCGGTCAGACCGAAAATCGTCTACCGAATGATCAACAACAAGAACCAGCTCAAGGAGAAGATGGCGCTGTTCTGGCACACCATCCTTTGCGCTGGGGACAACAAGGTAGACAATGCCCGGACAACCTCCATGCAGTACGACACCTTCCGCGAGAAGGGCATGGGCAACTTCAGGGAACTGCTGCTGTGGCTGTCCACCGACCCGGCGATGCTGTACTACCTGGACAACATCGAGAGCCACAAGACCGCGGTCAACGAGAACTACGGTCGTGAGCTGCTGGAGCTGTTCTCCCTGGGCGTCGGCATGGACAACGAGTTCAACTACTCCGAGGACGACGTAAAGGCCTGCGCCCGCGCCTTCACCGGCTGGAACCTGGCCCCGACGATCCCGGTGTTCCCCTATGGCCGCACGCCCTTTGAGTTCCGCTTCGATCCGGCGGACCACGACTACGGCGAAAAGACCTTCCTGGGCGAGACCGGCAACTGGAACGGCGACGACGTCGTCGACATCATCTGCAAGCAGCCCGGCGCCGCCCGGTTCGTGGCCCGCAAGCTGTACGACTTCTTCGTGGCCGACGAGCCGCCGGTTCCGTCCTGGCGCCTGGCCGAGCCGCGCGACATGGACGCCATCAAACAGCTGGAGAAGGCCTACTTCGACTCCGGCTACGACATCAAGGCAATGCTGCAGGTACTGTTCACCAGCGACTTCTTCAAGAGCGAGGCAGTCCGCTACGCCAAGGTGAAGAGCCCGGCCGACGTGGTAATCGGTACCATGCGCATGGCGCAGGACCACACCGAGCCCAAGCCCGGTCTGTTCTTCGTGGCCATGGAGCCCAAGTACATGGGCATGGACCTGCTGAACCCGCCGACCGTCGAGGGCTGGCACATGGGCCGCGAGTGGATCAACAGCGGCTCCCTCATCGACCGCATCAACTTCGCGTCCAAGATCCTTGGCGACACCAGCCTGCCCGGCGTCCAGTCGATGGTAGGCCGGCTGATGGACCAGGGCGAGAACCTGACTGCCGAGCAGTTGGTTGACGGCTGCCTGGACCTGGTGGGCCCGCTGACCATCTCCGAGGAGACCCGCAAGGAATTGGTGGGGCACGTTGGCCGGGGCGGAGACCTGCTCCATAGCACCGATGCTGAGAAGACGGATTTCACCGCCGCGTGGGTGAGACCTTCCAGATGATCGCCACCACTTCGGAATTCCAGTTCGGCTAGGCGTCCGAAGAGAGACACGGGGGAGTGAGGGAAAAGAAAGAACTCACTCCCGCCCCAAATAGATTGAGACACAAATCGCTGACGAGAATAACGGAGGAATAGCGATGGTATCCACCAGCAAGGATCCGATCTTGTCTGTAGTCTCCCTGTCTGGCGGGAACGACGGGATGAACACGGTCATCCCCTACAGCAACCCGCGCTACCGGGACTACCGGCCGACCCTGGGCATTCCCGAAGAGATGATCGTGCCCCTGAATGACACCTTGGGTCTGCACCCCTCCATGGCACCCCTCAAGAAGTACTGGGACGAGGGCAAGCTGGCCATCATCCAGGGCATCGGCTACCCCAACGGCAGCCTGTCTCACTTCCGCTCCATGGACATCTGGGCCACCTGTGAGCCCGAGATCCTGGGCGTGGAGGGGCTGGCTAGGCCGCGTGGTCAAGCAGCTTGACCCGAACAAGGAAAACGTACTGACCGGCGTCAACTTCGGACGAGGTCTTCCCCGCGCACTGGCCATGGAGGGCGTGCCCATCGCTTCCGTCGGCGACCTGACCAGCTACGGCCTGCTGACCGAGCTGGAGCGGGAAGAGCAGCGGAACGAGGCTCTGGACCTCTTCGGCCGCATGTACGGCCCGGCCATCGGCCGCGGCGCGGTTGAGGACTTCATCCGCAGCACCGGCGTCGAGGCCATGATGGGCGCCGACATCCTCGGCACCGCCCCCGGCATGTACCGCGGCGAGGAAGAGTACCTGCTGGGCAACATCGGCGGGTACATGCGCGACATGGTCCAGGTGCACAACGCCAACCTAGGCACCCGCGTATTCTTCACCACGGCTCCCTACAACATCTTTGACACCCACGCCAACCAGGCCGTGGGGCAGTCGAACCTGCTGAGCGACGTGGCCAGGAACGTTGACTCCTACATGGCTGACCTGCGTCACCACGACATCAGCGACAACGTGGTAACGCTGCTGTACTCCGAGTTCGGCCGCCGCGCCATGGACAATGGCTCCGGAACCGACCACGGCACCGGCGGCGTGGCCTTCGTCATCGGCGAGAGCGTCAAGGGCGGCCTGTACGGCGAGTATCCGTCCCTGGAGCCGGGTGAGCTGGAAGACGGCGGCAACCTGCAGCACAACAACGACTTCCGCTCCACCTACGCCACCTCTCTGGAGAACTGGATGGGCTTGGACTCCAAGGAGATCATCGGCAGCACCTGGGAGAAGCACGACTTCATCTAGACCATCAGCCAGGGTCGTGGCCCGGCGTGCAAAACTGGGATAAGAAAGAACGCCGGAACGCGGCCAATGACGGTCTGCGTTCCGGCCGGTAGGAAGAGGATTCGGCTTATGGTTGAAGGAAACGAGGCAGGCCAAGACATTCTCGAAGGGGAGGGTCGGGGCGTCCTCCAGTTTATCCTGGAGCTCATCAGGTCTGGAGTGACCGCCCTCAGAACCATAATAACCTCGTCGTGGACACTGGCCGGAATCTGGTCAGCGCGCTGATAGAGTGGGTGCTGGGCGCCATCACCTCACTGGTCAGTTCGGTTGCCCAGCGTGTCATAACAACATCGCCACAGAGGTGTAAGGCGCGCCGCGTCTGCTACTCGCAGGCGCGGGCGGTTCCCCGCAACAGCAACAACTAAGGAGGCAAGTCGTGGCAAGTGTATTTCTGGGAATCAAACGACCGGACGTTCACCTACAAGTGGGTCGCCGGTCGATCCGAGTTCCAAGGCACCGGGTTCCGCAATCCGATGGACTTCGTTTTCGGGCCGGAGAACTCTATCTACGTGGTGAACCGCTCCTACGAGTCCCGCTCCGACGGCACCCGCATCAACCTGTTCACCCTGGATGATGACGGCACCGAACACTATGTGACCGAGTTCGGCGGCTATGGTGAGGGCCCCGGGCAGTTCCTGTGGCCCATGTCCATCGCCCTGGACAAGGACACCAACGTCTACGTGTCCGACGAATATCTGCACCGCATCACCATCTTCGACAAGGATGGCAACTACGTCGGCCACTGGGGCACGCACGGCTCCGGCGACGGCGAGTTGGACCGCCCGGCGGGCTTGGCCATCTGCGGCGACGTCCTGATCGTGGTGGACAGCCGCAACAACCGGGTGCAGAAGTTCACCCTGGACGGAAAGTACATCTCCCAGTTCGGCAGCTTCGGCAGCGGGCCGGGCGAATTCAATACGCCCTGGGGCATCGGCCTGGACAAAGAGGACAACATATTCGTTGCGGACTGGCGGAATGACCGCATTCAGTCGTTCACCAACGACGGGCAGTGGCTGGCCAGCTTCGGACAGCCGGGCACCGGCGGCGACGCTTCCTATGCCCGCGAGCATGGTGGCTTCCCTCTGGTAAACCAGCCGGTGGGCCTGTTCAACCGCCCGACGGGCGTGGCCGTGGACAAGGACGGCGACATCTACGTGGCCGACTGGCTGAATAACCGGGTGCAGGTGCTGACTCCCGAGGGACGGTTCATCACCGAGTTCACCGGCGACGCAGCCCTGTCCAAGCTGGGCGAGCAAAAGATCGAGTCCAACCCGGACATGGTCCGCCAGCGCAACGGCGTCCGCAACTTCACCCCCGAGAAGGTTCTCTGGGCCCCCGTGGCGGTGAAGGTTGACGACAGCGGCCGGGTCGTCATCGCTGACACGATGCGCCATCGCTTCCAGGTCTACCAGAAGAACGACGAACCGGTGCTGGTCTAGTCCTGAAAGCCGCTTGGCGAAATTCGCCAGGCACTGAAACCCCTGGGGCAGGCTCATTCGCCTGCCCCTTTTCATGCCCAAATTTCTGGAGCGCATATGACACAAGACCGTGAGCAGACCGGCGGCACGCTGGCCCAGCAAATGTTTGGACCCCAAGCCGGGGTCTACGCGCAAAGCAAGGTGCATATCAGTGACGACAGTCTCGAGTCAGTTCAGAAGCTCACCGCGCCAATCACGGCGAATGGCGCCGCTCCCTACCGCTGGGCCGTGGACATAGGAACCGGGGCCGGTTTCACCGCCTTCGCCATGGCCGAGGTGTCGGAAAACGTGGTGGCATCCGACATCACCCAGCCCATGCTGCGCCAGGTCAGGCGCATCAGCGGAGAGCGGGGACTTCCCAACGTCGGGCTGGCCCAGAATGCGGCCGAATCCCTGCCCTTCGCCAGCGGGAGCCTGGACCTCATTACCTGCCGCAAGGCGGCCCACCACTTCCGAGATTTCGAAGCTGCCCTCGATGAGGCGCAACGCACACTGAGGCCGGGAGGCTCGCTGGTGATGGCCGACACCGTGGCGCCGGAGGACGACGCCCTGGCCAAGTGGCAGAATGACGTCGAACTGAGGCGCGACTTCAGCCATGTGGAGGACCGCAAGATTTCGGTGATCCGCCAGCTGCTTGCCGACCGGGGCTTGGAGGTGGTTGGATGGGAGAACGAGCGGGTCTACCTGTGGTTCAACGATTGGGTCATGCGGACCAAGGTACCAGAGGAAGAAGCCCAGGCACTGCGACGTGAATTTCAGGAAGCTTCGCACGAGCTGAAGCAAGCGTTCCAGGTCGGAGAGCCGGAAGAGGATGGCGACTTTCTGTTCTCGTTCCCAGTATGGGTGTTCCGAGCGGTGAAGGGGTAGGCGGGCTCGACCGACCTACGTCGGCCACTGCTCCAGGTTCCAGGCCATGTCCCAGAACTGGTACTCGAGGCGGAGGCTGGTAATGTAGGCCGTCTCCATGGCCGCCTGTTCCTCGGCGTTGGCAGAGTTGCCGATCCGGTCGGTCAACGTGCGCAAGTAGGTGGCCAGGTCGCGGAACTCGCTGGAGGAATACATGCCAACCCATTCGGCGTAAAGGGGCGCGTGGGTGGGCGGTCCCTCGCGGTCGAGGTGCTCTCCGATTTCCCAGTATCCCCACTGGCAAGGCAGCAGGGACGCAGCAAGTTCGCCAAAGCTGCCCTGGGATGCCACCCGCAGCAGGTAGCTCGTGTAGGCGACGGTGCTCGGAACGGGGCGAGTGGCTTCCAGTTCCTCGCGGGTGATCCCGAACTGGGCGCAGTAGCCGCGGTGCAGCTCCATCTCGGTGTTGAGCGTCTCGTCCAACAACCCCGCGAACCAGGACATCACCTCCAGCTCCGGCGCCCGGGCCGCCCCAAGGGCCAGCGCGCGGGAATAGTCGACCAGGTACACGTAGTCCTGGGTAACGTAGAACTTGAACCGCTCAACGTCCAGGTCGCCGCGACCGATGCCGCGCACGAAGGGATGCTCCAGGATGGCCTGGCGGATTGGCAGAGACCGCTCCTCGACGCCTTCGATAAAGCTCATAGCTAGTCTTGTTGGTCCCGTGCTGGACGCTGGCGATGGAGAAATATGCCTGCCAGCGGGATGGACAAGCCCGGCAGCAGAGGGGTGGTCAGAGTGTCGTCTGTGCCCAGGAAAGCCCGCTCGGCGTACACGTCGTCCGAAAGTTCCAGCTGGGTAACAGTGTCGTTCTGAGGATCGATGGTCCAGTATTCCAGCACACCGGCCTCAGCGTATATCTGACGCTTGAGTACCAGGTCGCGGCTGCGGTCAGTGGACAATATCTCGATGGCAATGTCAGGGGCGCCCTCCACCCACCTGCCTTGCAGGACACCCTGACGGTCGTCGCGGACGACGACTATATCGGGTTCTGGAGCCCGCTGTAGCTCCCTGGAAAGGATAGTGGTCATTTCCTGGTAGAACCGGGCGGGCGGTTCGTCGAATTCATTCAGGTAATTTTGGAAGTGCCAGCAGAATTGAAAATGGAGGAATTGATGGTCACGAGTTCCGGAAGGCATTATGGATAGCACTCCGTCGTCGAGCTCCCACTTGCCGTCGGTCTTTCCGAGGGCCAGGAACTCGTCAAGGGACATCCGCGTGCCGGTACGAAGGCCGATGGTTGACATGGTCGACTCCGTTCGTCGGCGTCAGAGTCAGTGCACCGCACGTTGCAATTGTAGCAGAGGCTCTTCTGCCGGTAGTCAGGACGGCAGCAAATGCCTGGGTGTCGTTGCATACTCCTTTATCCACGCTTTCCACACATTGTATGGGCACGGAGATGGCAATTATCTGACAGTTGGCGCTTCCGCCCCCTTGTCAAAGACACGTATAATTACCCCAATCCGATACATGAACACGGAAGTGATTCCTATGGAAGTTGTTTTCACTCAGGATGTACCCAATAAGGCCCGCGCCGGCGAGATACGAAACGTGCCCGACGGCTACGCTCGCAACTATCTGCTGCCCAAGGGGCTGGCCGTGATGTCGACCCCGGAGGTGCTGAAACGGCTGCACAAGATCAAGACGGCAGGCGACGAGGTCAGGCTGCGCGAGACCAAGGTGCTCGATGAACTGAAAGAGGCCCTCGACGACACCGAAATCACCGTACAGGCCCGCATCACGCCTACCGGCCGGTATTACGGAGCGATCACCAGCACCCACATCTCGATGGCTCTGGCCGAGGTCGCCGGCCGTGAGGTGGAGCGGCGCTGGATCGAGGTTGCGGAGCCCATTCGCGAGCCGGGCGAATACGATATCACCCTGCGTTTCTCCACGGAAATCGCAGCGACGATCCACGTAAAAGCCGAAGCCGAAGAGTAGACATTGACCCTCTACGCCGAAAAACTGCTCCCCCACAACATCGAGGCGGAGGAGGCGCTCATAGGCTCTCTGCTCATCGACGGTGAGTGCATCGCCCGCATTGCGCCGATGCTGCAGGCCGGCGACTTCTACCGGGAGCGCAACCAGTTCTGCTACGACGCGGCGGTGGCCCTGTTCCAGCGGGACCAGGCCATCGACCAGACCACGCTGGCCGGCGAACTGGGGCGGACCGAGCGGCTGGACTCCATCGGCGGGATGGCCTACCTGTCGCACTTGGTATCCATTACGCCGACGTCGGTGCATTCCGAGGACTATGCCGAAATCGTTTCCCGCACCGCCACGATGCGGAAACTCATCGCGGCTGCCTCCCGCATTTCGGAGCTGGGATACAACGATACCGACGACGTGGACGGGACGCTGCGGCAGGCCGAAGATGCCCTGTTCGCCGTTCGCGGTGGGATCCAGGCCCGGGGTTTCGTTCCGCTGCGGCAGATCTACGACCAATACCTGCAGGACAGGGCCGGGATGATGGAACCCGAGGCCGACTCGGTCAGCCCGGTGATGTCCGGCTACGGCGAGCTGGACGAACTGCTGGGAGGGGATGCAGCGGTCGGACCTGGTCATCCTCGGCGCGAGGCCCTCCCTGGGCAAGAGCACTCTGGCACTGAACATGTGCCTGAACGCCGCCAAGAACGGCTCCACGGCCGGCGTGTTCAGCCTGGAGATGAGTTGCGAGCAGCTGGCCATGCGCATCCTGTCGTCAGAGGCGGGAATCGACTCCCACCGGCTGAGGCTCGGGCTCTATACGATGGCGGAAGAACAGCGGATGATCGACGCCATCGGTCAGTTGTCCGACCTGCCGGTGTACATCGACGACACGCCCTACCAGAGCATGCTGGAAATGCGCAGCAAATCGCGCAGGCTGTACATGGAGCACGGGCTCGACCTGCTGGTCGTGGACTACCTGCAGCTGGTGGCGGGGCAGGGACGCGGCTTCAGTGCCAACCGGGTGCAGGAAATCAGCGAGATCTCCCGGTCGCTCAAGGCACTGGCGAGGGATCTGAAAGTTGCCCTGATCGCGTGTTCGCAGCTGAGCCGCCTGGTCGAGAACCGGCCCAGCCACAGGCCGCTGCTTTCCGACCTGCGGGACAGCGGCAGCATTGAGCAGGATGCCGACGTGGTGATGTTCATCCATCGCGAGGACCTGTACATCACCGAGGAAGAATGGGAGCAGCAGCGTCCCGGTCAGCCTTACCCCCGGAACATCGCAGATATCATTGTCGCCAAGCACCGCAACGGCCCCACGGGCAGCATACAGCTGGAGTTCCGCGACAACTTGGTGCGCTTCGACTCCTTCGCCCGAATGCCCGCCTTCTAGGAGACCCCCGCAGCTCCAATACCAGCGCGACTGCACACACAGGTCGGATGGACGAACGATTCGGCTGAAACCATTGTGTATTCCCGCCAAGGCGGGAATGACGAGACAGAGGAAGTATGGTCTTCAGCGGTTTTCCAAGAGATACACTCTACACGCCACCCCCGACCCGCTCTTCGGCCCGCTCCTGGAGGACATTCAGGATATGGCCGAACTGAAAGTGGCGCTCCGGGGCATCTGGCTTCTGCACCACAAGCGTCAGGGCCCACGAACGGCGTCGCTGGACGAGTTCCTGACAGACACGGTCCTGCTGCGAGGGTTGGCGTCCGAAGGCAGCGCTGACAAAGCAGTGGAGGAAATCCGGCGCGGCCTGAGGCTGGCGGTCCGGCGAGGCGTGTTCCTGGTGCACGGCGGTAACCCTGAAGAGGCGGTGTTCGCGCTGAACAACGACGCCGGACGCAGGGCGCTGGCGCGACTGAAGGAAACGGGCGCGAGCGGGACCCCGAGTCCCGGCGCGGACGAGGCGCCGGCGAGACCCAAGGAAAAACTGAACATTTTCGCGCTGTACGAGGACACCATCGGGATGCTGTCCCCGATCGTCGCGGAGCGGCTGAAGGAGGCGGAGCAGAGATATCCTCCGGGCTGGATTCGCGAGGCGTTCGAAATCGCGGCTCTGGAAAACAAGCGAAGCTGGCAGTACGTCGCCGCCATCCTGGCCCGGTGGGGGTCGGAGGGCAAGGGTAACTGGGCTGGCGGGAGCAAGGATGATGGAAAGCCTGGGCGAAATTCTCCGCAGAATCAGCGCGGCAAGTACAGCAAAGACTACGAACGGTACCGGGGCCGCCCCCGGCTCCCGAACCGGAGCGCGCTGACGACTGTCCGTACTGCCATGGCAGTGGATGGGTGACCCAGCGCGTCCACGTGGGGCATCCCGATTTCGGAAAGGCCGCGCCCTGCCGGTGCCGCGAGACCGAGGACTCCCTGCCGTCGAGGTTGGAGTCGTTGCGCCGCTACAGCAACCTCGGGGCGCTTTCGCGGCTGACCTTCGGAGCCACGCGCACCGAGGGGCCCATGCCGGACATGGCGGCGCGCCGCATGTTCACTGAGGCCCTGCCGCAGGCGGCGGCATACGCAGAGAACCCGGAGGGCTGGCTGGTGCTGACCGGCCCTTCCGGCAGCGGCAAGACGCACCTCGCGGCCGCCATTGCCAACCGCTGTATCGAACGGCAGCAGACCGTCTTTTTCATAATGGTGGCTGACCTGCTAGACCACCTCCGGGCTGCCTATTCCCCCTCCAGCGAAATTGCCTATGACGATCTGTTCGACCAAGTGCGGAACGCGCCGGTGCTGGTGCTGGACGATCTGGGCGCTCACAGCTCGACGCCGTGGGCTCAGGAAAAGCTGTTCCAGGTCATCTACCACCGGTACAACAACGCCCTGCCGACGGTGCTGACCATTCGCGGGCCCATGACCCGCCTGGACGAAGCCCTGCGCACACGTCTGGAGGCGGCGGAACTCTCGACGGTGCTGCAACTGGGGCACCTGAACAGCCGGCTGGCCCTGGGGATCGGCGAGGTGCGGTCGGAGATGCTCTCCCGCATGACCTTTGCAGGCTTCGACGTGGCCGGCGGGCAAAGGGCCACCAAGAGGGAGCAGGACGAGTTGGCGCGGGCCCTCAATTCCGCACAGACTTTCGCCAGCTTTCCCGAAGGCTGGCTGCTGTTCACTGGCAGCCGGGGCTCTGGCAAGACACACCTTGCCGTGGCCATCGCCGGGGAAAGCCTGCGGCAGGGCAGGCAGGTATTCTTCGCCTTCGTGCCCACATTGCTGGACCACCTGCGCATGACCTTCAGCCCCGACAGCCCGGTGGGGTTCGACGACCTGTTCGAGCAGGTGCTCAACTCGGAGCTGCTGGTCCTCGATGACCTGGGATCGGAAAACAGCACGCCATGGGCCGAGGAAAAGCTGTACCAGATCGTCGTCCACCGGCACGAGGCCCGGCTGGCCACCGTCATCACCACTGCGTCGAGCATGGAGGAACTGGAGAACGCCAAGCCGCGCATCGCCTCACGCATGGTGGACAGCATGGTGGTCGACTGGGTGCCAATAGACGCTCCGAACTTCCGGGACCAGCGGCGGCGCTAGGGCTTCGGTATCCGTTGTGCTAGACTATGGCCGCCAACGAAAGGGGGCCTGATATGACTAGTGGAGAGCAGTACCGGGTCATTCGCGAGCGCAACGTCATGGTGCCGATGCGCGACGGTATTCGCCTGGCGACGGACATCTACCGTCCCGATTCGCCGGGGCGCTTTCCGGCACTGGTGACGCGGGGACCGTACGGCAAGGACGGCTACGCCGACAACCAAGAGCACTCCATTTGGTTCTTCCCGCAACGCGGCTACGTGGTGGTGAGCCAGGACTGCCGCGCCCGCTTCGACTCCGAAGGCGACAACTACCACCCGCTGTTCCAGGAGGGCCAGGACGGCTACGACACCGTGGAGTGGGCGGCCCGCCAGCCCTGGTGCAACGGCCGGGTCGCAACCACCGGGCAGTCGTACCTGGGGGCGACGCAGTACACCCTCGCCGCCGGCCCGCGACCGCCGCACCTCGCCTGCATGGCGCCCGTGTCTGCCTCGGCCGACTTCCACCAGAGCTGGGTCTACCACACCGGCGGCGCCATGGAGTGGGGCTGGATGGTGCCCTACGCCATCCACAAAGGTCGCAACACCCTGGTGCGGGCGGGCCGCGAAGACCTGTTGGCGCAGATGGACGAGTACGTGCTGCCGCCGGACAACTTTGCCCAGCCGCTGACCGACGCGTGGTTCCGCCACCTGCCCCTCCGCGACTGGATCGATCGCCTCAAGGAAACAGCACCCTATCTTCATGAGTATTTCGATCAAGAGAACGACGGGCCGTACTGGTCGCCAATCAACCTGATGCGGCAGGCCCACAAGATCTCCCTGCCCATGTTCCACGTCAGCTCGTGGTACGACATTTCCTGGAGGGGCGCTGAACGGCTACCAGTCCCTGCGCGACAAGGCCGCCACAGCCGAGGCGCGGCGGAGCCAGCGGCTCCTCGTGGGGCCGTGGGCGCATATCCGGCCTTACACCGCCCCGACCTCAGGCGACACAGGCGACATCGACTTCGGCCCAGAGGCGCGCATCGAGCTGCACGAGCACCTGCTGCGCTGGTTCGACTACTGGCTGAAAGATATCGAGACCGGCCTGTTGGACGAGCCGCCGGTCAGCATCTTCGTCATGGGTGAGAACCGCTGGCGCGCCGAGCAGGATTGGCCGCTGGCCCGCACCCACTACAGCAAGTGGTACATGCACTCCGGCGGCTCGGCCAACACCCTCGACGGCGATGGCGCATTGTCCACCTCCCCGCCCGGAGAGGAGCCATACGACGTTTACACCTACGACCCCGCCGACCCGGTGCCGACCCGCGGTGGCTCCACGCTGATCATCCCCCAGGGCGTGGCGGACCAGCGGGAGGTGGAGGCACGGGATGACGTGCTGGTCTACACCTCGGAACCGCTGGAGCGGGACATGGAACTGACCGGTCCCATCACCTGCACGCTGTACGCGGCAACCACTGCGGTGGACACCGATTTCACGGCCAAGCTGGTGGACGTGCGGCCGGACGGCTTCGCCCACAACCTGCAGGACGGCATCGTGCGGGCGAGGTTCCGTACCTCTGTTGCGGAGCCGTCGCTGCTACGACCTGGGCGCATCTACAAGTACGAGATCGACCTCTGGTCAACCAGCCATGTGCTGTTCGCAGGGCACCGGCTGCGTCTGGAGATTTCCAGCAGCAACTTCCCACGCTTCGACCGCAACCCGAACACCGGCGCCGCCATCGGCGTTGACGCGCAGCTGGAAACGGCGTTGCAGACGGTGCTGCACACGGCCGATTACCCCTCGCACGTCACGCTGCCGGTTATTCCGCGGTAAGGCCGGAAGCCCCCATAATTCTGGAGGCTTGCCCTGGCATGGCATACTGGACAATATTTTTTGAGGATTCCGATAAATGAGCACAACCCGACAGGTTTTTTCGCCGTCGCAGCGCCAGCTTCTGGATGCGGTGCTGGACCGCATCATCCCGCCGCAGGAGAACCGGCCAGGCGCGGGTTCACTGGGAGTGGGAAAATTCGTGGAAGGAGTGGCGGTCGGGGAGCCTGGGCTGACCCGCATGTTCGTGCGGGGACTGGCTGACATCGAGATCGCCGCCGCGGAGAGTGGCCCCGACGGCTTTGCCGCGCTGACGAATGAAGCGAAGGATGAAGTGCTGAGAGCGGTGGAAATTTCCAGCAGCGACTTCTTTAACCAGTTGGTGCTGCAGGTATACAACGGGTACTACACCGACTTGACGGTTTTCGAAAAGATCGGATATACTCTGCCATTGCCCCCTGCTTCAGGGGCAAAACTCGAACTTTTGGACGAGACATTGTTAGAGGCGCAGCGCCAGCGGGCCCCTTTCTGGACTCGGGTCTGACCGATAAAGTGGGCGGGCTACCGGCTATTGTGCCGGGGAGGAACGCCATGCCCGCAACCACTCGCAGGGAAGAATTTGACCTGAAGCTCGTCGGTCTGGAAGCGGAGGTTGAGGGGCTGGCCTATTACGTGAGCGACGCGGTCCACCGCTCTGTCGAAGCGCTGAAGACACGCGACCTCGCTGCCTCCCGGCAAGTCATCGAAGACGACGATTACATTGATCAGAAGCAGGCCGAGATCGAGGCCCGCTGCATCAACCTCATTGCGACTCAGCAGCCCGTGGCCCGGGACCTCCGGTCCATCATCGCGTTGCTCCACATCGGCGTCGAGCTGGAGCGTATGGGAGATTACGCCGAGGGTATAGGCAAGATATCAGCGTCCATGGGCGGCGACGAGCATGAAGCCACTCGTGAGCCCCAATGATCGAACATCCGCTCATGTGGCCCGGAATTGGGCTACAGAATGCTGACGAGACAGCATCGACAGTCGCGTTGGCTAAAGCGGACACCTGGAGAAAGCTCAGGCAGTGGTGGACGCCGACGACGAGGTTGACGACCTGTACGACCAGGTCTACCGGGATCTGCTTGATTACATGATCAACGACTCGCAGCCACTGTTCAAGCGGGCAACCATACTGCGGTGGAGTGCTCACGACTGGATGCGCATGCGCGGACCGGGCCAACCAATATCGCACGAATGCGGTTGAGTTCCTGGTCAAGGGCAGCAACCTCGACATAACCATGTCACCGATCAGAGAGACTCAGCGCGAGCGAGTGCTCGAAGCCTCCTGACGGTTGGTAGCAGGAACGCTACATTGTCTCTACGCGGCGCCTCACCTGGGGCGCCGGACTCTTTTCTCCACCATCACCTCGCCTCGGACCTCATTTATTGTGTGATGACATTCAGTCCCTAGTTTGCAGCTGGTGGTTGCCATCCCGTAACAAGAATATATATTCTTGATCATCCATGCGGTTCGAGCCTGAGCCGAATTCTGAAAACATGGCCGCTTCTGGCCAAAGACAGCCGGAAAATCAAGAATTCTCTTCACCCGGACTCCCGGCGAATTCGCGGAAACCCCGGCTTTCACCCGTCATCCCTGCGTGACATTTCCCCACAAAAACAGGGAGCGGGCTAGCGCAGGCACCAACTCCAACACGAGACAACACGAGACAAAACGAGACAAAATTGAGCAGCTTTTCTCAATATCATATGCCTGGCGCGTGAGGACTCCCCCGTCCCTCAATTGAGAGAATGGTGAGGAGAGCCCGACTCGGCGGGGCGCCTCTCCGCATGCAGACCCTCCTTCCGGCAAAAGTCGTAGACCCCCGGTGCAATCGGGGCCGGAATTCAGGCCTCTTCAGCGTCAAGTGATTCCGCCCTCCTGAAACGGTACCCAGCCCCTGTATCAATCACGCCTTGACAGGCCAATTTATGTCTAATAATATTAGAACAAATATTGCGAACATAATTTCTCGTAGGTTTGTATGGAGGTATGAATGGCAGGGCGCGCAGTATAACAGAGAATCTGCACTGCAAGATCACTGCGCAATCCGGCCTGGCTGAGATGCATCCCGTCCTTCCCCTGCGTGATGGACGCTGAGGGAGGGGTCCTACCGGGTGGTGCGCCACGCCTGCACCTACTGCTACGCCAGGCCGACGCACGAGTACTGGGGGATGGACGCGGGCCGCGATTTCGAGCTCAGCGCGTGTTCGCCAAGGTGAACGCCCACGAGGTGCTGCGCCAGGAGCTCAAGCGAAAGATGGTAAGAGTTGCGTGCGTGCGTGCGTCAATCAGCTCATCGGCCTCACCAGCGTCGGACCCCTACGAGCCGGCGGATGCGGAGTACCAGCTCACTCGAAATGTGCTGCAGGTACTGGTTGACTTCGCCAACCCCTGCTCCATCACCACCAAGGGAGTGCTCGTGCGGCGCGACGTCGACCTGCTGCGGGAACTGAGCGAAGTCGCCGAGGTCAGTGTGAACTTCAGCATCGGCACCGTTGACGACGAAATCTGGAAGCAGATGGAGCCGGGAGCTCCGCGGCCGCAGTCGCGGCTGGAGGCGATGCAGCACCTCGTGGAGAACGGCATCAACGCGGGCGTGATGATGGCGCCTCTGCTGCCCGGCATCAGCGACCATGAGGAGAACATCGCCGCGGTCGCCGAGGCGGCGCACAACCACGGAGCGCAGTTCCTCGGGTCCAATGTGCTGTTCCTCAAGCCCGGCTCCAAGGAGTGGTTCATGCCCATGCTGAAGGAGACCTACCCGCATCTCGAGCAGGCCTACGCCAAGCTGTACCGCAAGACCTATGCGCCCGAGGAATACACCAGGAGTGTGCTGTCCATCGTCGACCGGGAGCGCCGCCGCTGGGGTCTCCACAAGCGGGAAAGGGACCCGGCCCCCAGGCCGGTGAGGGGTCAGCTGCAATTCAGCTTGACGGAGGAAACGCCGAGGCGGCGACGCAAATCGACCCCAGCCACACCTGTGCCCCAAACAGGCCAGCTGGAACTGGCGCTCACCGCCTAGGGGTCCGGCATTTCGCAGCCTGCCAACGACCCCTCAGGGGACGGCTACCGGGAGTAGCGGTAGCCGTCACCGGACCGGTCGCAGTTAAGGCGGCGGCTGAGGTGCAGTCCTTCCAGAACGAACTCCGCCGCCGCGGCGACTACCTCCGGGCGGCGGTCGCCCTCGGTCAGCTTCGTCACTGCTGCAGACAAGCCGTCGATGGCCGCGACCATTTCGGGGTATTCAGCTGCCGGATGGTCGCTGCCGGTCACGGCCAACCCACCCAGGTCAAAGGCCATGATCACGTCTTCCAGTTCATCCAGGTCGAACATCGCTCCGAATACCCGCAGGACAGACCGGCGAGTCAGCTCGTCGGTGACGCGGGACTCCCGTCCCTCCTCAAAGGTCTCCAGCTCTATCTTGCCGGCAAAGGACGCGACGATGTAGGAGAGGTCGCTGACCCGTGGGCAGGCCCATTCCTCGCCGTTAATTATGCTGCGGCGCACGGAGTTGGACAGGGCGGTCTCGAAGTTGGCGATGGACACCCGCACGCTGACGCCGGAGCGCTGGTTGATTTCGCTGCTCAGGCGTGCCTGGGCGGTAATCTCGGCGAGGATGCGCTTCATGTATTCAGGGATCACCAGCTTGTCTTCGTCGGGGATAGGAAACGTTGTCGCGTCTTCTGCTCTCATTATGGCCGATCTCGTCCTGAAGGATCGCGGGTGCTGGTAGTGTGGTGTGATGTGATGATCTGGGGCACCGAGCTCGGTCCTTGAGCGGCGTCACAATCCGCCCGCGGTTCGTGTAGTCCTCGGGGTTGGCCGTTGACACCACGTATACGTCAGAGGGCGACCGATCCGGCGTAGCGTCGTTGACATCTGCACGTCTCCGCTCTCCATCAGGTGCCTTTAACGCCCCTGGATGCGCTCGGCAGTCGGGCAGTGCTCGTTGATGCAGAATTGATGTGCCGCGATGGTGCGGGTGGGCACAATCGTATGGATCACGAGCTCATCGGAGAGGTAATGTCCCTCGGCCACCTTGATGGGATCAATCTCGCCGATCAGGTCGGCGATGGATATGTCCGGAGTGGCCAGCTTTTCCGAGTAGCGCTCCTCGCGGGGCAGCCACCCTATGGGCGTGTTATCGCCCTCCTCAGCCACCCGGTTGCGACAGGCCTGGCAGATCGGGTTATACGGATCGTCGTTGATTTCGCAGTCCGCTATGACCGGGATGTAATCGTCCAGCAGGTTGACCAGGCCGCGAATCAGGCGGGACTTTGCCTGTCCTCGTTCACCCAGCAGGATCACGTCCTGACCGGCGAGGATTGCGTTCTCGAGCTGTGGGATGACCGTTTCCTCGAACCCGATGATGCCCGGGAATACAATCTCCTCGGAACGAATCCGGTTGATCAGGTTGTCCCGTATCTCAGAGCGCACAGGGCGAACCACGTATCCGCTGTTTCGCAGGTCGTCTATGGTTCGCAGAGAAGCATAGTCAATCATCAAAACACTCCTGTCCGGCCAGCGCCAGCCTCCGGAGAGGGGTCAGCTGGGAATTGTACCAACTTAACACAACTTCCCCTATAATTGAACGAAAGTGGCAGAGCGCTGAGGAGTGGTCCATGTTTATGCGGTTAGCGGTCCCATTGCTGCTGTTCTTTGCTCCCCGGCTCTTGCCTCACATAGTGAAATTCGGGCGGCTGGTGTGGCGGCTCACCCTCGACAAGCGGGTGCCGCTGTTTCTCAGGCTGCTGTTGCCGATAGCAATCCTGTACGCGATATCACCGATAGACCTTGTCAAGGACTCCGTTCCGGTCCTGGGCCGGTTCGACGATCTGATATTCATCGCCATGGCCCTGTTGCTGCTAGTCAAGCTGTCGCCCAAAGAGGTGGTTGACGAGCACAACGGCGTCATTCCCCCGTCCGACCGACCAGAGGACAAAGACCCCGACAAGGTCGTTGATGGGACCGGTCGAGTGATCGACGACGAATAATCGTCTCCGATCCCGGCGCGAGCAGCCCCCGGACACTCCTCCCCGTGGGGAGATAGTACATACTCCAAGCTGGAGCCGAAGTATCCCTCTCCCCGTCAATTCGTCTGACGCCCGTCTGCCCAGCCCTGCGCCCAAGGCCACAGGGGGCGGAATTGTCCCCGCGCCTGGGATGGGGCTCTACATACATGTGCCCTTCTGCAAGACCAAGTGCCCCTACTGCGACTTCAACACCTACCAGGGCATCGAGGGGCAGATGGGCGGCTACCTTGAGGCGGTAACCACCGAGTTGCGCCTCTGGGGCGATGCGCTGGAACATCCCCAGGTGCGGACAGTCTTCTTCGGCGGCGGCACGCCCTCCTACCTGCCGGACGGGGACATCGCCGCGATCTTGGGCGCAGCTTCCGACGCCTTCCGTATCGACGCAGGGGCGGAGATAACCATCGAGGCCAACCCGGGAGACCTGGATGACGCCGCCTGCCGGGGCCTGCGGCGCCAAGGCGTGAACCGGCTGAGCATCGGAGTTCAGAGCCTCGACAACGGCCTGCTGCAGTTGCTGGGTCGGCGACACACCGCCGACGGAGCAATCGCCGCCTTCCAGACCGCAAGGCAAGCCGGATTCGACAACGTCAACCTCGACCTGATGTACGGCCTTCCCAACCAGGACCTGGGCCAGTGGCAGGACGCGATTACAGGGCTGGTCGCCCTGGCGCCGGAGCACATCTCCCTGTACGCGCTGACGCTGGAGGAAGGTACGCCCATGCAGCTGTGGGCGGACCAGGGCAAAATACCCGTCCAGGATCCGGACATGGCCGCCGATATGTACGCGATGGCTCGCGATGTATTGGCTGCGGCAGGCTACCACCACTACGAGATCTCCAACTGGGCCAAACCCGGCCTCCAGTCGCAGCATAACCTCATCTACTGGCGCAACGAGCCATACCTGGGCGTGGGGCCCGGGGCGCACTCCCGGCTGGGAGAGTACCGGTTCTGGACGGTGCTGGCGCCTCGGGACTATGCGAGCAGGGCGGAGGAATGGTCGCAGGCCCTCTCGTCAGTGTGGGCGTCGTTCGGCGAGGGTGAGCTGTGCCGGTCGCGCACAGTGGATGGCTGGGAGCACATCGACACCGAAACGTCGTGCGCCGAGACCATGTTCCTTGGGCTCCGGCTGCTGGACGGGATGAACCTGACCGCCTCGTCGGCAGCGGTGGGGCGGGACCTAGCCACCCGGTACGAGGCAGAGATCCGGGAACTCCTTGCGATGGGGTTGCTGCTGCGGGAGGGAGACATGATTCGCCTCGACCCGTCGGCATATCTGATCGCGAACCAGGTGTTCACGCGGTTTCTGTGATGGCCGAACAAGGCGTGTTATATTCGGTCAATGAGGCTACCCAACCGGCATTTAGCCCATGTGCCCGAAATGAAGATTACGCATTACCTTTTGAACTTGAACCACCCTAGGGGAAAAGGCAAGGCGCAGGCATTCCGGGGCAGAGGGTATGATGAAAGCAACGTAATCGTGTTCATCCGCGACTTAGTTGCCATAGCTCAAACTTACCCCGTCTCTGAGGTCCGTCAGCTTCCCAACGGGGTCCATTATGTAGTATATGGCGAAATACCAACACCAGTCGGGGGCATGATGCTGGTCAGGACAATTTGGAGGATCGACACTGGAGAGAATGCTCCGAGGCTTATATCAGCCTTTCCGCGACTGACGATAGAACAGGAATCGCAGAAATGAAAGAATTTGAGCTAGTGGCGCTGACTCAAGACCTTGAAAGCACGCATCTCAAAAAAGGAGATGTGGGGGTTATCGTAGATGTTCTAGCGGATAGCGAGGTCTTCATTGTGGAGTTCATTCTCCAGACCGGCTTCACTGCGGCTTTAGAGGAAATCGATGCCGGTGCTGTGCGTCCCGTGAAAGAGGGCGAACTCACGCGAGAAAAGTATCGAGAATGGAAACCCGAATGGACAGACTCTTTTGGCTACTGTCCGCCTATTTCGGAAATTCCCGAGTACTCTATGCCACCCGAGGCGCGTCCGGCCAAGGCACATTATCTGGGATACGTTGACGGGATCGAAAGTTAGGGAACGCTGCAATGTACGTAATCGGAACTGCAGGGCATGTCGACCACGGCAAGTCCACGCTGGTCAAAGCACTGACGAGCATTGACCCCGACCGGCTCCCCGAGGAAAAGGAGCGGGAGATGACGGTCGACCTGGGTTTCGCGTGGATGACGTTGCCCAGCGGCCGCGAGGTCAGCATCGTCGACGTCCCCGGCCACGAGCGGTTCATCAAGAACATGCTGGCCGGAGTGGGCGGGATCGACTTGGCTCTCCTCATCGTGGCGGCGGACGAAAGCGTGATGCCCCAGACCCGCGAGCACCTGGCCATCCTGGACATTCTGCAGGTGACGAGAGGGCTGGTGGTGGTGACCAAGACCGACCTCGTGGATGACGAAGAACTGGTAGAGCTGGTCAAAGCCGAGGTGGAGGATACGTTGCAGGGTACGTCCTTCGAAGGATGTCCCATGGTCGGCGTATCGGCACAAACCGGCGACGGGCTGGACGAGCTGCGGGGGATGATCGACAGCATCCTGGACGAGACGGAAATGAGGCGAGACCTGGGCCGACCCAGGCTGCCGATCGACCGGTGTTTCACCATATCGGGATTCGGTACAGTCGTGACCGGTACTCTCATCGACGGTTCGCTGGCGGTCGGGCAGCAAATCGAGTTGGCAGGGTCACAGCAACGGGCCAGGATCCGGGGACTGCAGAGCCACAAGACCAAAGTCAGCAGCGCAGAACCCGGCGTGCGGCTCGCGGTTAATCTGTCTGGCATCTCCCGCGATGACATCGAGCGGGGAGAGATTCTGACATCGCCGGGATGGCTGCGCCCAGCCCGCCGGCTGGACGCCCGTATTCGAATGGTGAACGATGCTCCTCACCCCCTGAAACACAACGAGGGCGTGACCTTCCACCTTTTCACCAGCGAGTCTCACGCCCGCGTGCGCCTGCTGGACGCGGAGCAACTGGACGCCGGCTCGGAGGGCTGGGTGCAACTGCTGCTCTCGGAAGCGCTGCCGGTCGTGAAGGGGGACTATTTCGTGGTCCGCTCGGCCGACAGCACCCTTGGCGGCGGGCAGGTGGTGGACCCCAACCCACGGCGGCGACACCGACGGTTCGACGTCGACGTGTCGGAGCAGCTGATGCTCCTGGACGAGGGAGCCGACGAGGATGTCATCGTCAGCGTGGCCGAGCAGTGGGGCCCGTGCAACCTCACCGACCTGTCCCGGAGAGCCAACCTTCCGCGCGAGGAGGCGCTGGAGCGGGCAGTCGCACTGGCTGAAGAGGGCGACCTGATCACCCTGGGCGACCTCTCCACCGACGGCGACGCGGTCGTCTATTCCGCGCTGGGCTGGGGCGCTCTCAAGGGCCGGCTGGCCGGAGTCCTGCGCTCCTATCACGACCAGTATCCTTTGAGAAGGGGCGCACCCGCGCAGGAGGTGCGAAGCAGGGTGGGACTGTCGCAGCCGGTGTACCTGCGGGCACTGGCCCGGATGGGTGACGAGGGCTTCGTGGCGGAGGATGGCCAAGCCGTAAGGCTGCCCGGGCATGAGGTCGAGTTCACTCCAAAGATGGAGCAGCAGGTCGCGAGATACCTTCAGTCGCTGGACCGCGAGCCATACTCGCCCCCAACCGATCAACCCCTGGAAGGCGAACTGCTGAGCGCGCTGGTTGACCAGGGCAAGGTGGTTCGAGTGGGCGATTCCGTCGTATTTGCGGCCACGGCCTACCAGGAAATGACTGTACGCGTCGTGGAATACCTGCGGGAAAATGGCAGCATCACGGTGGCGGAGGCGCGGACCCTGTTCGACACCAGCCGGAAGTACATCCTGCCGCTGCTGGAGCGAATGGACCAGGAACAGATCACTCGCCGCAACGGCGACGAGCGGGTCCTGCGGTAGCTGCTTTCGTCTGATACTCCCGAGGGATTATCCCTCCTCACTCTTCGAGATAGTCCAGAAACTCCTGGTAGCTGGAAAACTGGGCCACCGTCCTGAGGAAATCCCCGAGAGAATCGCTCTTGGCGCGCAGTTCGCGCAACTGTCCCTCGACGGGGCTGTCCGAGGCCGCGCTGGTGGCGTAGGAGCCGTAGAAGGCGAAAAACGCCTGGTTGATCTTGCGGATCCGGTACCCGCGGTCCAGCAACTCCTGGCGACGCTCCTCCATGTAGCTCTCTGCCTCTTCGATCCTGCCTTCGGCCAGCAGGTTCTCGGCGGTCTGCCGGGTCTCGCGCATTTCGGCGGTGAAATCGAAGGCATTTGGGTCCCGTTCTTCAGGCGGAGCCGGCGGCTTCCGTTCGTAGTCGATGCCCGTCATGGACTCGTAGGCCTGGTCGCCGATCTCCCACCCGCCCAGTGTGGCCGCCGTTTCATTTAGGGTTGTCATGTCCGGGCTGTCCCAGAAATGCTGGCCTAGGGGCTGAAAAAAGAACCAGTTGTGCAGCCACTCGTGGGCAACGGTGTTGAGCGCGAAGTGCAGACTTCCGGCGGCGGAAACCACGGTGGGAAAGGTGCCAACTCCCCCGGTGTTTACCACTATGGCAGACAAGTCGCGCTCGTGCAGCATTACGTCTTCCAGCGCCGTACGCTCATCGGGCCGGACACCATGGCGCAACAGCGTGTTATCGAGCCGGAATATGCGATCGCGTGGGGAGGTAACCAGCAGGGCAGGGGAGTGGCTCAGCACCGTGTCAACCGGCGGCAGGATGGCGCCAATACGTGAGGAGAACTCCTCTTCGTGGAGGATGTCACTTATCTCCCGCTCGATTGTCTGCTCGACCAGCGGCCGGATGCTACCTCGCCGGTCGTGAATTTCGGCGAGCCTGCCCCTGATTTCGGCTGCCCTGGGCGAGGATTCTGGAATGGACAGCAGTTCGCCCTCGAGCCGCTGTTCCTCCTCCCCAAGTTGGAAGAACTCCTCGGCAGCGCTTATCCGTTGCTCGCGCGGCGGCAGGGAGTTCCATGGCAACAGGGCCACCAGCTCGTGGTACCACTTGTCGAAGACATTGGCCGCCTCCCAAGCCAGCAGATTGAAACGATAGGTGGCCACCGCCGCCTCGGCTTCGGTGGGCCTGTAGTCCTTTCCCGACCACAGCAGCAGCGCGATGAGGGCGCAGGCCGCCAGTCCTTGCAGGAAGCCGCGAAAGGCGGCCCTAAAGTTCTCTGGCGACAGAGCAGTGCCTATGCCGAGTGATCTGGCCGATTTCATGACCCTTTGCACAGGATGCGTTTGCCAGAACATTGTGCGTACGATGGTAACGATCGGGCCAGGCTGCGTCCCT